CGGGTCATGCTGTGCGGCCAGGGGCGAGCCGGCGTGGAGGCAGGAAGGAGAGGAGGCAGCCAGAGGCCTGGGTCCCCTCGGCTAAGCCGCACTGGCAGTGATGGAGAGGAGGAAACTGACAGAGAGACCACCAGACAGTGACTGAGTGCAAAGCAGAGGAGGCAGGATGGTGTAGGCATTGGGGAGGCTTGGGATTTGGGCTGGGGCAGGTGGGGACACTGGGAATGCACTTCTCTGGTAGGAACTAACTTGGGAAAACAGTCTGTGGGAAGCTGATGAGCTCAGTTTTGGTCCTGTTGAATTTGAGGTCTAGGAAGACTTTGAGCTACTTGGCAGCTCCTTGGATGAATGCGTCGGAGCCTGGAAGAGGTCCTGAAGGTGCCAATAGGAGCGACATTTGAAGGGTGATTAAAGTGAGATTTTTCTGGATGAGTATGTAGGCTGGGAAGAGAAGAGAGGCCCTACAGATCAGCATGCTGAGAGGCCCCAGCATTTAAAGGGCCACAGAGAAAAAAGGAGGCTGAGAAGCAGCCAGTGAGGCAGCAGGAAGGCCCCTGTGTGTCATCATGAAGCCAACGGGGTGATGTTAAAGGAAGTGGGGAGCGGGCGGCGGGATCAGATGTTACCCAGGGTCATTTGGATAAAGTCGGCAAGTGGACCTGTCGGATTCAGCCCGAGGTCATTGGTGAGCCTTGGGCAGCGTTGCCTCCCACCTTCATAGTAGCAAGTTAAAACCCACCGAGCTGAACCCTGGACTTGCTGGTTGTGCCACTGTCTCGGGTGACAGGGGAGGCCTTCAGCCGTCATCTGGTACCGTGCCGCCCTTGAGCGGCGCCCACGTCACTGAGGACTGTGTTCAACGTGGATTCTGATTCAGTAGTTCTGGGTGTAGACTCTGAGAAGCTCATGAGAAGCTCTCAGGTGACTGATGTTCCCACCTGCGGACCACACTTCGAGTAGCACAGATCTAGAATAACTCCCTCTGTCTGCCAGTAGTCCTCTGGTGGCATTCCTGACAGCTGGTCATTCAGTCTCCAGAACACTCCTCACGATGGAGAACTCACAGAACTTCAGGGGTAGATCATGTTCAGTTGAAATCTACAGCTGTAATTCCAACCCTCGATTGGAACAAATCTCCTTCATTCCTAAAATCTCCCTCCCCACCATATATATATATATATATATATATATATATATATATGCCTTCTTAAAGGACCCTTTCTTTTTTTAAGAATTTATTTATTTGAGAGAGAGAGAGAGATAGTGAGAGAGGGCAGGAGCTGGGAGCAGAGGGAGAAGCAGGCTCCCCAAGGAGCTGGGAGCCCAATGCGGGACCCAATCCCAGGAACCTGGGATCGCGACCTGAGCCGAAGGCAGATATGCTTAACCAGCTGAGCCACCCAGACGCCCCTAAAAGATCCTTTTTTTTTTTTTGGTAACTAGAGATTACCCTTGTTTTTAAGCAGCTCTATCCCATTCTTGGGACATATTAAAATAAAATTTTTTCCCCTAAGTCTGCTGTTAAATAAGATCTTTCACATCTTATGTAGGATTTTCTTTTAACCTAGGTGTAGGTCTGTTCGCTGCTTACTTGCTGATTTTAGCTTCTGGTTTCAGCCTGAACTACTCTGAAACCCTGGTTTGGATGGCCTGCATGTTACCAGTCTCTCTCCAGTTTGGAAATCAAATTGTTAATGTACATGCATCTATCTTCTTCCCTTTTTTTTTTTCTCTCTTCTGTCCTTCTGGCCCGATGATGGTCAGTCCGCATGCTCTCCAGCCAGCTGACTGACTGCTGTGCGTACTCAGGAGGACGAACGCTCAGTTCTCTTTTCTGCCTTCTGTCTGCTGTGTGGCGTAGTGAGCGAGCTTACCTCTTTGTGCGCTCTGACACCTGGCCAGCTGTCTCTCCCTCTCGAAGAGTTTCTTGATGGCTGCCTCAGAGCAAATTAAAAAATCCTCAAACACAATATTGATGAAACTCATTGACATGGTTTTGGATTAAGACAGAATACCTCCCGTCCTGTTAGTTTTGGGATTAATTATGTCATGAGAGATTGATGCTAATAAAGTCTTGAGTTAAGAAGAGAACACTTTTTTCTTCCTGTTACAGAACCTACTCTGGATCCTTAATCTTCTTGCACGGATGCCCGCGTTTGCTTATCCACGCAGAATACTTACGTGTTGCTAGCTTGCTAGCTCTATCATAGATTAAGTAAAGTTTGGAAAGTTTGAGGAATGTTACTTGAAAAGACTGCCTTTTTCTCCTTTGGTTCTTTAATTCCTGAAACAGGAGTATCTAGTTTTTAAAAAGAAGTGGCTGGAGTTGTGCTACTTTAGCCTTGAGGCTGAGATGCTTTCCTAGAAGGACCTTCTAAGGAACAGGAAAAAATGTGGAGGCTGAAGTTTTCCTTATTTGGAGCTCCAGGATCTGAAAGTTCCCTGCTCTTAACCTTCAGCTGCTGCAAGTGCGCTGAACCTCAGGCTGGGCGTACATAGAGTAGCCAGATCTAGGGAGAGAAAACTGAACCTGCCTCTCCTTTGGATCTTTCTAGAAGTGCACAACGGTTGTTGCATTGTTTCTTATTCCTGAGTCGCTCATAAAAGATGCCTCGCTTTCATGTCTCGTTCTTCAAATATGCCAGTTATCTAGAGAAGCAAACTTTCTCTTTAGTTCCCAGATTATATTTGGAACTGACACTTGTTCCCATGTCAGAGATAAGGAGGCTGAGGAGCAGGGAGGACATCACCAGCAACTACTTCCTGTGCTTAGAGGCAGCAGTGCCACACCCAGTCCCTGACTGTTCGCTGCAGGCCGTCCATCTGCGTTAACGCCACTCAGATGGTGCCTTACTCGTGAGACCCCTGAGAAGTTTAGAAAGAGGACAATGCTCTGTGATCTCCACTGTGTTTACAGGGTCGGTTGCTCATCTGATGACCTTGGAGAGGATGACCCCATTGGCTGGTTTGAGCTGGAAGAAGAATGGGATGAAGCGGATGTGAAGTTGCAGCCCTGCAGGGTTGCCCAAGTAAGCATTAGCGGGTTGTGGCCTCCCCACAGTTGCCCACTCCCTCCTTTTACCCTGTCCGTGTTCACGGAGTGGATCGTATGCACCAGCCCCGTGCCAGCCCCGTGCCAGCCCTGGAGGCCAGTCAGCTGTGACTGTGATCCTCACGGAGCCTGTGGTCCAGGGGGAGACGCCCCGGTACAGGGACACACGGGGGCTGTGGCCACCCAGAGGAAGCACGTCTCACCCGGCCCGCAGGTCACTGGGGAAGGCTTCCCAGGAAAGGCGGTGTGCTGCCAAGTGTTGGAGGTTGATGAAGTCATCACCCACAGCCAGGCTAGGACGTGTGGGGAAGGGTGTGTGCAGCGGGGAGAGTGGAAACACGCTGGCCCGAGTGCACGAGAGATGTGTCTCCATGGCTGTGAGGGAAACCATGATTGTCTGGCCAGTTCATTTCTTTCACTTACTTAGTGTCCCTCTTAGTAAGAAGCTTCAGTAAGAGAAGGAAGAACTGTCTTCTGGGCTTAGAGGTAGTAGATGTTCAGTAAGTATTTATGCATCTGAGTAGTGGGGTCTGAACAGCTCTTGGCAAAGGAGCTTCCACTGTAAGAAGCAGAGAGTTTGCATAGCAGTTGGGCTTTCAAATGGCTTTGGCTTCGAGCAGACAGCGCAGTGTCCTGGGCTGTGGGTGGTGTAGATTAGTTGGGAGCTTTGCGACAGTTGTTGACTGTTTTCACCCTAGACCTGATTTCTGATTCAAAACGACTTGGCCACAGAGCACATATACTTCTCTGATTCATCCTGTCTTACCCTGTGTTTGCCCTGAAGATGGGGTAATACCATTTCTCTTATTGGGATCTTTCCCAAAACCTGACTTGAATCAGCACGAGTGTTTTTTTCCCATTTGTTGAGATGTCGGACTTCTATTTTGTGCCCCATGCCAGGCAGAGTGAGACCTAGTAAGTCATTAAAGTCATAGAGGGACCTTCCCAGAAAGGCCTTTATCTCCCTTCCATTCATAGTCGGGCTTCTGAGTCCTTCTCCTCAAATCTCTCTGTCCTTTCTAGTATTTGATGGTGAAGTTCCTCTGCACCCGTCAGGAGTCGGCAGAGCGCTTGGGCGTGCAAGGCCTTAGCATCAGCGGGTACCTCCGGCCTGTGCGAGCCGAAGCGGAACAGCACGTCGTCTGTGCCCACTGCAGGAAGGACGGGGAGGAGAGCGTCTGTGGGGCCACCCTGCTCCTCAGGACACTTCAGTTCATTCAGCAGCTCGCCCATGACCTGGTACCTCGTTCCTTTGGGGACAGTTAATGGTGGTGTTGAGGGAAGTGAACAGCCGCCGGCGAAAGCGGGCCCTGTCAAGCCATGCTGTAGGGACCTGTGCAGCTAGCTTCACACTGCTGTGATGATCGGGGGAGCAGGGGAGGGAGATGCTGGGCATCCGTGGTGTCAGTCACTGGGGGACCGTGTGGCGTATGGCCGTCAGAGTGAGGCTCCCCGGAATAGACCTACAGACAGACCGTGAAGACTTCCGCTGTGATTGCCGGTGGTAGTCTAGGGAGACCGAGCAAGTTTATGGGATTTCCGTCTCCCTGAAGTCCGGGGAGAATTATTCCTGAGGTACAGGTGAATTCTGTTTGCTCCCTAAAGGTACCAAAATGTCAGGATTTAAAATCATTTCTGGTCCTGACACTGATTTGTACAGTCATCAATAAAAATACAGTGACTTCTGGCTCCGGGGAAGATTCTTGCCACATCACTATAGAGAACATGGCTTAGCTCAGGGGTCGGTGGGGCGTCTCGCCCTCCCACACGGGGAAGGCAGCAGTTCTGCCTCAGGGCGAGTTTGGAGGCTATGACTCAATTTAACTCTGGTTTGTTTGGTCTATGTTATTCAAGCTCTCCTGTCACAGCAGAAAACAAACAGGGGTGGGTGGGGTGCTTCAGAGCCGCAGGGGCGCTGGGGCAGGATTCAGGCAGGCGGGGGTCAGAGCATGCCGCCCTGTCGTCCTGCTGGTGTCCCGGTTGTGGTGTGTATGGAGTTGGGGAGTCCTCGTGGGGGGGGGTGCGCGTTTACACACACGTTTTCTCACATCCACATGCACACACACGCACATCTGTAGAAAGTTTCACACCAGGAACAGTGGTTCATGCACTTCTGAGTTGGTGAGAGTCAGCATCGGCCGTATGGGAATCCTACACCTTTCACATTGAGGAGTAAATGAGCCATCACAATATTTCTTTAAATGCATTTTCCACTTTATTTTTTCTGGTTTTTATGATTTTTTAGGTGCAGCAGAAGGAAAGTGGCTTAAGATATAAATCTTTTCTGGACTTCGCGGGTCTTGATTTGCAGATCTTCTGGAATTTTTACAGTAAATTAAAGCAAAAGTAGGTCAGAATTTGTTATAAGGTGATAATCATATAAACAAAACTGAAAACTAAGTTTTACATTCCAAATAGACCTTTTTTCTTGTAAGATTTTTTGACTTCTCACTAGTTTATATTGTTCTCGTTTGAGAGAACGGGTTATTATTGAAGATAACATCTGACGTTTCTTTAACATACTTTGGGCAATGTCGCTGCAGACGTTTTGTCGTCTGACTCTCATCACAACCTGGTGGGGAAAGCAGGTCAAGCACTGCGGTAATGCCCTCATTTTATAGATGAAGAAATAGGATCGGAAATGTGTGTCCTTTTGCCCCACTGTGGGCAGACTCAGGCAGGGTCTGTGTTTTCAGACTCTGCCCAGTACGATGTTCTTTTCATTCTGCCTCTCTTCCTCTCCTTGGCCGCCTTTTAACCGAGCCTGCTGTGTAGATGAGAGTCCTTTTTAGACAGCTGTTGGCTTTGGAGGGTCAAAGCAGCCTGCCCTTGTGCTCTCTGATACTCGTTGTCTTTCCGTAGCCCGAGGGAGGAGTGCCTCTGCGCCCAGACCCTGCTTCTGCGGCTCCTGCAGAGCTGCTTCTCAGTGCTGCAGAGAGACGGGCCAGCCGCTTCAGGGGGGGCACAGGCTCCCCGGCAGAGCCCGGGAGGGGCAGGGGCCGCCAAGGAGCTCCACACACACTTATGCGACGGTAGGCATTGGGCTTGTCTTTGTTTTTGTATTTTATTTTTTATTTTTGTAAAAAGGATTTGTCTATTTTACGCAGAGAGAGAGCAGGAGAGCATAAGGAGGGCGAGCGAGGGGCAGAGGGAGAGGGAGCAGCAGGCTCCCCGCGGAGCAGGGAGCCCGACGCGGGGCTCGATCCCACGACCCCGGGATCCTGACCTGAGCCGAAGGCAGACGCTTAACGACTGAGCCACCCAGGCGCCCCTGGGCTTTTCTTGAATATGATCCCGTGCTGGTAGCCTGCCAGGCCTCTTGCTGTAAGAACAGGGACCCTACGACCATGCAGGCTCAGGAGAGGGATCACTGCGTGGGAAAATGAGTGTTTCCTTGGATCTCCTTTTGAATTGTTATTTTGACTTCAGGATTTATTCTCTTGTCAGCACCTCTTGCTCCTGGTTTCTGAGCACAGATGTGTCGCAGTGAGAGTGGTGACTGTCACATTCTTCAGTCGTTACTGTAGAGAAGACACTGGGACAGGAGGGGGGGGAGAGGTGGTGAGACACAGGGGGTAAAACACACGAACCAGTGAGGTCACTTCTAAGGCTTTGCCCAGCTGCGGCTCGGAAGGAAGGAATGAAATGAAAACTGGCACATACAGTGCTTACGGTTTTTCAGTGTTTCCTTCTACCACTTCGGCCGTAGAGGTTTTCACTACACGGTGGGGAGCAGTGAGTTCATGGGCTAGTGAAAGCGGATACATAGGTTGTGAGTGAGCGGGTGGGAAATGCTGAAGCTGATTCCATTGTTCACTTCCATCAGTGGTGGACAGGGTGGACGGAGACTCTGCGCCCATGGAAACATTAAAACAAGAAGTCAGGAATACGCTTCTCAATGGGGCTGCTGTCTTCTTTCCCGACCGACAGACCCGGCGGAGCCATCTCTTCGCCATGATGGTAATCATTCATGTCAGAAGGGCGGGCTCCATTCCTGAAGTCTGGTGGGGTGACATTTATTAGTCTCTGTTTTCTCTGACTATCTCCTCAGTTTCAGTTTTCCAGATATGTACTTAATACTCCAAATGCAGAGTTCTGTGGGGAACACAGACGCCTAAGGACGCAGCACCGCCCTTAAGGAGGGGATGGCAGATCGTAGCCTCTTGTCTTACAAAGGGGGGGTATGGTCTCCCCATCATCTTCATGATTTGCCTGCAACCAAGCATTCTTTTTAACATTCTCACTTTTTATTATGGGGAAATATAAAACGAATACAAGACTAGAGTAAATATAACACCTCCTGCCCCATATGTGCCCATCACGTAGATTTGGCAGTTGTAAACTCGGCGAATCTTGTTTCATCTGTGACCTGCCCCATCCACTGTCTCCCTGCCCTTCCCCCAGTATTGTTTCATAAATATCTCAGATTACATCTGTAATGGAATGCAGCCCTCGCAGACCCCTTCTCCGTGTCACTCAGACATTAGGAGAGGTGGGTGAAAAATGCTTCCAATATTTATAAGCATTATGTTACCAAGTGGACATATCCTGTACAGAGATCCAGATTTTTAACTCTGAAGGCAGTATTTCTGTGTGAAAATGAGTGTGATACATGGAGAAAGATATTAATGATAATGTAAGACAGAACAAAAGTTTCTCTCTCTGGTCGGGCTCTGTGCTCAGCACGGAGTCCGCTTGTCCCTCTCCTGGCCCATCCCCCTCCAGGCGCACATGCATGGGCATGTGCTTTCTCTTTCTCAAATTATTAAAATCTTAAAAAGAATTTCTCTCTGTAAGCCATACTGAAAACATCTAGATCAGGGAGCTTCGGAGTTCCCAGTGTTCCAGTGATGGTACAACACAGGGAAACATAAATACAGGGTAACAAGGAAGCAAAATTACAGGCCAGTTTTACTTGTAAACATTGTAAGAAAAGCCTAACAAAATATTAGTAAACCAGTCCAGTAAAATACAGAGTCCTGACTGAGTTGGATTTACCCGAGGAATACAAGGCTGGTTTAACATTAGAAAATTAGTAAATGAAGTCAGAGGAAAAAGTTATCTCAGTAAATACAGAAAACATTTAAGTAGGATTAAATTCTGTTGATTAAAACTATAAAACCATTAGCAAACTCGAAGTAGAAAGGAACTCCCTTAATCTGGTGGAGGGCATGTGCCCCAGACTTTTAACAAATGGTATGCTGGATGGTGGATCCTAGAAGCAACCCTCTCAAAATGAGGAGGAAGACAAGGGTGCTTACTGGCCACGGCTTCTCCGGGAGGTCGTGTTAGAGGGTCTGGCCAGTGCAGTAGGACAAGGAAGAGAAATTTTAAACATAATAATTGGAAAGGATAAATAATTCTTTATAGGTAATATGGTTATAGATTTTTTTTATCGTCCGTAGACAAACAAGTAGTAGAATTACTGATAGGAGTTTGATGAAGAAAACTAGATCCGGCATTTTAAAAAAGCATTTCTAAATGCAGCAGCTAATTAGCAAATGTAATAAAGTCTCTGTGGGATGCATAGAAAGAAAGGAGGGAACCAAATCATAAAATGTGGTCTCTGGTGCCAGAGGACTACAGTCCAGCTGGGGACACCTGACACAAGAAAAAACCACAGATGCATGTAGAGGAGACTCGTGCTGGGGCCAAGTGACTGCGGATGGTTTCAGAGAGGAGGAAGGATCTTCGGTTGTTTTCAGCTCTCTGCAAACTTTGCACGTCAGCCTGAAGGATCAGTTTTCACACAGAGTCATGACCTTGGAAGCATCCGTTGGCCTGATCCACTGGACTGTGGGCGGGACTCCCATCTTGCTTGTTTACCAGAAGCATCTACCAGGCCGCTAGGCAGTGATTTGTTTTGCTAGCACGTGTTCCATGCAGAAGAATGGAAAAGGACATGTGAGCTCTCGAATGGCATTGCTATCTATTACCAGCCCCGTCACTTTCCCTTTGCCGGTAGGGTTATATTTTCCCTGCTCATGCTGATGACTTGAACGGCATATCTTGTGTCTCCCCTCCTCCTGTGCCGGGCGGGGCCCTGGGTCTCAAATCCTCTGGAAATCCTCTTCTGCGCCTTGCCTAACGGCCAATGTTTGGTACGTTTCTTGAATGAGGAAAGTGCCCCTAAAGTAGCCCAGGAGCCTCGTCAGGAGATGTGATCCCTATAACTGTCACTATAGGTTGCTCTGGCTTGTGTTGGGAAAGCTTAGGTCCTATTTAAAAACCAAGAGAAAACTCACAAGAAAGGCACTGTTCCTGCCCTTTCCTCTTGCAATGTTGTGCCCACTGGTGAAAAGTACACATCCTCCTAAACATTCATATCAAGATTTCCTGCAGGAAAGCTTGGAATTGGGAACTTTAGCAGTGAACCCAAGTACACCTGCCGTCTTTTGTTTAGACGGGTGATTCTGCCCCTGCCGAGCACCGGGCCAGTGTCAGTTGGGTGCCGTGAAGCGTGGGCCAACCCCAGCTTTCCTCTGGAACAGTGGGCAGTGGCATGTCATGCTGCCCCGGGCTCCGGAATGTCGTGGAACGGGTGTTCTGATTGTGCACTTTGTTGTTTTCTAGAAGAATGTCACTGAGCAGGAGCACAAGCAGTCCCTGCAACTCACTTTCCGTTCACTGTGCACGTATTTTAGGTAAGTTTAGGGTGCTTTATGGCCCTCTAATATTTCACATCTTTGCAAAGTTTTCTTTAGCTATACGTGCCCTCTGCTCAGCCACCTTTCTAGAGGGAGATGCCGCTAGTCACAGGAATGACTACAGCAGTGGTGGAGTACTAATCTTGCCAGGAGTTTAATCTGAGGCCCAGTCCTCATGAGACCGTTTCGAATAGGACCTGCTGGGGAGCTCTTGGAGCACTTCAGCTTCTAAGTGATACCTGAAGACACAAACTGAAGCCAGAGGAGCTTGGTGTCCTGTACTCAAGTCTGAAAACCCAGAAGCATAGAATGGTAGTTTAGCAAAGGGAGTGTGCTGGGAGGGGCTGACTTGAGATTTTTACATGCTTTGGATAGCAAAGCAGCTAATGGGCCTGTAGGCTGCATTACCAGAGATATAGGCTCTCGAAGAAGGGAGGGAACAAATAGCCCAAGTTCCTGTCTGCACGTCAGGCTGTACCTAGTGCGAGAGCAGACTTGGGGGTCTCTAAAATGGGTCTGGACTCGAGAATCAGGGGCGATGAAAGAGCCTCAGAGCTCATGTGGGGAGCATTTGAAAATCTGGGATGTTCAGCCTGAGTTAGCGTGAGATGAGGTGTACTTCTTCTTGGTGGTCAAGGTGATGTAGTCATCAGATTGACTTCTCAGAGTCTCTTCTAAGGACTTGAGGGTTTACAGGCCTGAGCTTACTAAGGACATGGGGGACAGACAGTGGCCCAGACTCAGCTGGGACCTGGACTTTTTCCTGACCCAGGCTCCTCCGCAACCCATAGAACTGACACTGAAATCTTGCTGGGTTCTTTTTTGGACACTTTTAAGACAAAAGCATGAGCATGCCCTGCCTGAAACAAGGAGTTGTGACAAATTTGTGTCCTTTCAGTGATAAGGATCCAGGTGGCCTTCTGCTCTTGCCTGAGAAAGGTGACCTGGCCGACACGAACAGCAGTGAAGTGCTGGCGGTCATGAGCACCCTCCTGTCCGTCGCTGCTCGAGAGGTAACTGGCGGCCGCTCCGCTCCCTTCACCCCGTGAGCCAGCGATCGCGGGCGCCACCCCTGTTAGCCACAGTGTGATGTAGCTTTGTCCTTGTGGCCCTTCCAGGTGGGCAGCAACTCTCAACGGCTCGCCGTGGCTCCTAATCGCCTGCTCCTGGGGCCAGTCCCCTGCTAGTCAGCGAGCCATAAACGTGTGGACACGCTCCTTGAGATTTCCTCTGGGGTGTGGGTTGGCCGAGCCCAGCACTTAGGCCTGTGTCTGTGGTGTGAGTTCTGTGGAAAACTGCTTTAGCTTTTTTAAAATTTAAGATTACTTAGTAAACCCACAGGCTAATCAAGTCTGAAAAGATAGTGTCTTTTGTCTATGCTAATATTTTCAAATTTTTACTTTATTTTTTTTTTAACATGAAGGATTCTGTTTCTCAAGATGTAGTCCATGTGTCAGGTGGATCAGAATCACCTGGTGTATTTGGACAGAAATTTGGGTTTCTGGGTCCTACCCCAGGCTCCTGGTTTAGAACCTCTCGGACAGGATTTTGAGTCTGTGTTACACCGCACACCCCTGGGATTCTGACGTGACAGAACCCTGTGACTCGGGGACCAAGGATTGCTCTCTGGACAGAAAATGGACCGGGTTGGGGGGGGTGACAGTGGGCCAGGCCAGACCACACGCTTGAGGCATAGTGTGACGGTAACTTGACGATAACTTCTTTTTGGCTGAACTTGAGTGTCTGAGTTTTTCCCTTTCTTTTTTTTTCTGTCAGTGCTTTACTGTTTTCAGGTTGCTGCTAGAGCCACGATTTCATGCATTCCTGGCTGCATTGCTCTTAGGGAGACAGCTTCGAGAGTGCCGGGTTCTCGTTTGCCAGGGTCACCCCGTGGGCTGGCCACTGTGCAGACCTAGTATGACCTTCAGTCCAGGGTCATCTCTGTCCCGCTGGGAAGCCTGTCCTCTGTAGCTGCTGTCACATTCATGTTCTCTCTGGCTACCTTCTGCTTTCTGTCTCCTTTCCAGACTGGCCCATCTCTGTCTTCCTGGAAACTCCTACTCCAGCCTACTGCTCATCGGTATTTGCTCTGAGCCCTGTTAGCCATGCCTCACTCCTATCTGTCTTTATTTCTGCCACCGCCCGCGCTCACGCATGTGCAAAAACCCAGGGACAAGATGAGGAGAGGCAGTATTTGAAGAGGAGAATGGCTGTGGGTGGACTTTGAGCATGCTGACTTTATGGCTCTGGTAGGACTTGAGGTGGCAGGAGCTCCAGGACACTCAGGAGCTGAGTTGGTGCTGGAAATTTTGTAGCCATTGACGAACAGCTGAAGAGTTAAAGCCGCGACTGCGGTGCTCCCTCCTCACCTGTGAGCATCTGGGGGACGTCTCACCAGAAAGGCAGGAGTGGCAGCAAGGAATCCCTGGAGGCGGAAGCCCAGGGAGGAGAGAGTTTCAAGAAGGACAGTGCTCAGGAGAGCCACTGACGTTACAGTTGAGTGGTGAGGCTTTTTGTTCTCAGGTGGTAGCCGGTGCCTTCGGGGACTGGTGTCGGTAAGTGGTGAGGCGGGACAGCGGCACAGAGCGGCTGCAGGCAGCTTTGTGCAGCGGAGCTCACGTTCCAGAGAGTGCGGGTACAGAGCAGTCCTTGTGCCCTGCCCACCACACCCCGTGCCTTCCTCCCCGGAGGCAGCTGCCCTTGTAAGGTGTACATTGGTCTTTTCTCTCTGGCTTTTCCTGCGCAGCAGGCTTGTTTGGCCTGGTCACGTGGTGCACAGTCTTCCAGTCCGTGGTGTTTTCGAGGCTCGTCCATGCGGACATGCGTGCCGCAGTTGGTTTGTTGTCATTGGTGCGCGCGGTACTCCCCTGTCAATCTGCCACCGTGTATCCGTTTTACTTTGGAGGGGCAATTGGGTTGTTTCCAGATGGGGGCAATTACATGGAAATTGTGGTAGGAACGTATCTTGTGGTTCTTTTGTGCAAGAATTTACCCCTAGAGGTCAGGTGAGAACAAAGCTGATGGTTGGGGAGCCACAGAAGGGCGGAAAATGACTTTTCAGGTGGGATAGGTGTGGTTGAAGGCTCGGGGTAAGGGGCCAGAGAGGAAGGAGGTTTGCAGGTGTAAGAGAGAGGGGTTTGCTGGTGCAATAAGACCCCTAAGAGGCAGAAGGGGAGGATGCTTGCAGTAAAAACCATCTGGGAAGCCTCTGGAAAGCTGGAGGGTGAGAGAGGAGCTTTCACCTGCCGTTTCTCTCTGTCACGTTTGAAACACAGGAAGCTCTTTCTTAGCCGGTGACGGTTACTATCCAAGAATGCCCATGCCTGTGTTCTGTGTTCTGCCCTTGCTGTGAACATTTTCTCTGTCTGCTTCTTGTAGTGTGGACTGCTGGTGCTCACGGGGGCCCACGGGGAGGCTGGCTCTGTGCTGTTCTCCCTGTTCTGGGCTGTCCAAGGCAGCCTGCTCTCCTGGTGCTACCTACAGCTGAAGAGCACGGACTCTGCAGTCAGAGGTGGTGCCGCTGACCTGATTGACCAGTGTGAGTTTCAGCCCCCAAAGTCCCAAACCCACCAGAACAGAGAACTCTTTGGGTTTTGACGTTCTTCTCTAGTGCCTCGTGTGTGGGGTTACACAGAGGGTTTTCCCTTCTAAGTTACAAATTAGGTCTGTCTCTGGGTTGTTTTTTACTTCTTAAAATAGGGTCTGTAGCATGTCTTTTTGCCCCGAGTGTTCCGAATGTGGTGGTATGCCTAGGAGTTTTCACCGTGGGGTCCTACGTCGTGCAGGACTCTGAGGTGACGCCACACTCTTCAGCAGAGCCGGTCATCCTGGCTTTAATTGAGTTGCCCAAACAAGAAAGTCTTGACCTTTTAAAGTCTAAGGCATATGTGACCACTGCTGTGGTCTTTGCAGACCCCCAAAATCCTCCTGTTCATGTCTATAAACCTGCAGAAAATGACATGACCTTCCGCAGGTTCTGAGAAATGCGCACGTGGAAGGCTGAGTCCCAGCAGTGTGACAGGACTGCTGACGGGGCCGAGTGCTGGCGCCTGTGGCTCGGGCCGCGGGGTGGCCCGCTGAAGACGGGCCCATTGTGAGCAGAGGGAGACTTCAGCCTGGCCCCTGGGCTGCTCAGCCGGTCGATGATTCCCCCTCATCCTAAAGTAGCGAAGACTGAAAAAAATCACTCCCTTTAAAAGCGATCCTTCCCTGAGATTTGCGCTGCTTTTCCTCCCTGAGGAGAACATACACATGACCCCAGTGGTCTTTCTGATGTGGGATTCTTGCCACCATACCTGTGACCCTCTCCAGCTTTGTTCTTCGTGATGACCAAGCAAGTGATGTGTCTACCACACATAATACTAATTACCGTCTTTATGTTTTGGTAGATGTGGGACAGTTTCTGGCAAGCATGAGAGCGATTTTGGAATCCCTTTTGTCACAGTATAGTGGAAAAACCATTGTAGAAAAATTATGTAATTCAGTGTTTTCAATGGCAGCCCGTCAACTGGTAAGACACAGTGATGGCCTTTGTAAAGGGGGAGGGTGGTGACCCACAGCCCCAGGCAGAGTCTGAGGTGGATGCTAAGTGCTTCGTTAATCTTCCTTTAGGTCATCTTTCTGCTGGACTTCTGCACTTTAGACATTTCTCATTGCACGCTCCTGAGAGAGTTCAGTACGCTAACAGAGCTGTTGAGGCAGCTCTGTGCTGACCCGGAAGGAGTGCTGAATAAGGTAACCAGAGTGGATGTCAGAACCCCCGCCGCATCCCCTCTTGAGAGTGATGTGACAGTGCTGAGTGAACCCTACCGTTGAGGTTGCCCCCGAAGACCACCCCCCCCCCCATGTTTTAGCAATGGTTTGCCAACAAGGATGAATGGCAGCCCGCCTTGACCTGGTGTGGTCAGCATTGGAAAGGAAGCTGTATGTAGGTCAGTCTCCTTTCACAGCACGTGAAGTTGTATAAAACCACATAAGGGAAGAACCAGATTGAAGTCTAGAAGAGAGACTACATGTTGAAAGGCAGGTTAGGAGGTTTGGTATTTAACAGAATTTTCTCCCTATTTAATCTCGTAGAACACAACAATTTTCACTACCTTCTTTGAGTCTCAAAACAACTCTGTGGGAACAGAAAGGGCATATATTATAAAGCCTTTTTTTTTTAAAGATTTTTTTTTATTTATTTGACAGAGAGAGAGAGAACAAGTAGGCAGAGAGGCAGGCAGAGGCAGAGGGAGAAGCAGGCTCCCCACTGAGCAGGGAGCCCGATGCAGGACTCGATCTCAGGACCCTGGGATCATGACCTGAGCCGAAGGCAGCCGCTTAACCTGCGGAGCCACCCAGGCACCCTATAAAGCCTATTTTAATGGTGAAAAAGCAAAGACTAAAAATGGAGAGAGAAGGGAGAATGGGCTTAGATTTGCCAAGGTCCCAAATTCAGTGTTTTTCCCACTGGAAGCTCATGCGAGTAGTGAATTGCAAGAAATAGCTCTGTCAGGCCAGAAAACAGAAGCTAGTCTCAGAGGTACCGCCGTGCACTGGAAACCCCATGTATCCTCTGCTGAGGGCTAGATGCATGCTGACCTGTGTATGCAGGTGGAACACCGGGATTACTTTAGCTTGTGTGACCGTCTGTGTCTGGTGTCCTGGCCGTCCGTCTGGGGTGCTAACACAGATGCCCAGTTCACTATGTGGTGGGACACAGAGTGACCGAAGCTTGCTTTCTTGACTTGTTTGTGCAGCTCGATGCAGAGACTTGGCAGCAGGAATGTCCCGTGGTGTTACATACCTGGACAAAAGAGTCTGCCCACAACTATGAAAACAATTGCCACGAGGTGTCTGTCTTCGTGAGCCCAGGGGCAACCTACTTTGAGGTGGAATTTGACGAGCGGTGTGAGACTGAGAAAAGGTAAGACTCCCGTGGTCTTTTCCTAAGCAATAGTGGGTTAAAACGAGAGCAGGAGAGTAATGGAGATTATGCCTTCCCAGGTATGATTATCTGGAATTTACCGACGCTAGAGGTGGAAAAACACGCTATGACACCAAAGTTGGCACCGACAAGTGGCCTAAGGTGAGTGGTGCTCCCAGAAGTGAGGTGAGTTTCTGCACCGACTCCCTCCTTTGTCAGCCCTTGGGGGTCTGGAAGGGAAGCGTTTCCCTCGAACTTCTGTAAAAGGAAGAGCTCATGTCCGAGTTGGCAATGACAGCCAGCCACCTGTTTTGTAGATAAAGTTACTTCAGCACCCAGCCTGCCTGTCGGTTGATGGGTCGTTTCTAGCTGCTTGGGCGCTGCAGAGGCCAACTTGAGTGGTTGCAACAGAGACCAGACGGCCCAGGAGGTCTAATAACTTACTGCCTGGTTGTTCACAGCACAGTTTGCCCACCCCTGGTTTCTGTCACATTGTCCGGTGTGAGTGGGGCATTGGTCCAGGAAGGCGCAGAGCATGTGGTGAAAGCCCACTGGAGGCTTGCGTGGTCTCAGGGGCATGGGGGGGGGCGGGGGGTGAAGTGCTGCTTCCCGCCATCGGCGTGCTCTCTGGTGGTCTCAGTGGGGAGCACGAGCACCATTTCTGGATGAGCAGGGAGTGGGCAGATGGGCGTCCAAGGTTTAGAAAACTGCCAAAGTTGCTTCTTCATGTGGTGCAGTCGTGGATTTTGCATTTCAGCCGCTCCCTTGTCTCTTTCTCCTTCAGTCACCTGGGTGGGTGTGGTGAGGTAGGATGGGGAGAATGCAGACCGATGTTAGAGTTAGAGTTTCTGGGTCTTGAAGAACATGCTTGCTCCTGAAGGACCTCATGGCTTCTGTGCTTGTCTCTAGAAAGTGACCTTTAAGGCCGGCCCTCGGCTGCAGTTCCTCTTTCACTCTGACAGCAGTAACAACGAGTGGGGCTACAGGTTCACCGTCACCGCCTATGGCCTGCCCGACGTGGCCGTGTCCTGGGCGCTGGACTTACAACTGCTCGTTTCCCGGCTGATGGGACGCCTCGCTGCCCAGTGCATGGCGCTCAAGTCTGCGCACCGTGAGTCTCACGCATGTTGGCTCCACAGAGGGGCAGGGCGGAGGTATGGACAGGGTGCCCTCGCGGGCCTGCAGACCACACCAGACCGCAGCATAGACCGCTCGGTGCCGTGGCTGTAAAGTGTCTCGACGTGGACTTTGGAACACATCCCAGGGGCTGCTGAGGATGCCCTGTCTGGAGGACGGCCTTGGTCATCTTCATTTTCTTAGTGAAATTTGGAAGGCAGAAATAGAATAAATTTACCAGTATCCTTTAACCACGTGAATATTTACGTTAAATACGGGAACGTGGATTTTGTCTTAAAGTGATTTCTTCAACTTAGTTATTAAATGCACCCAAGAAACAAGGATTATAGAATAAAACTTCCTACTGTGTTTTATTTCTATTTCATTTCTTGAGTTTTTCTGAATGTAAAAGGAAAATATCATGGAAATTGTATAATGGAGAAAGAGCGAGGAGAAAAGCCATTCCTAGTGCTAACACCCAGAAAGAACTCTTACTAACATTTTAATGTATTCCCATCTAGTCTTTTTTTATGTCTGTTCATAAACACATGTGGGTGGGTATTTAATTCTTCTTTTTTTTTTTTTACAAACTTAAGTTTACAAATTGCGAACATTGCCCCCACTAAACACTTGTGCACGGTCTCCGGTTATTCCCTGGAGGTGGTCCTCATCTCGCTTCATCTCCTGCCCTGACAGGAATTGCAGAAGTGCCCGTAACCGAGGCTGTCCCATGGAAGGGCAGCGCCTTAGGGCGCCCTTGTGGTGGGGGTGCATCCAGGGTGCGTGCTTGTGTGCTGGGAAATGGGGGTGGGTCCCCTGCACGTCCTCAGATTGCCCACAGACTCTCTGTCACGGGGAAGACACAGGGCTCTCACAAGCCTTCTTCTCTTTCCAGAGTTTGGAAGTGACATGGCAGTGCCTCCTGCAAAAATGGCGTCGGTCCTGAACTCCCCGCTGTGGAAACCTGTCTTCAGGCATCAGCTGAGTCCAGAGTTGGGATTAGCAGCGAGCTGGCCCACTCCCCCACACCAGGATAGTAAGGAGGTATTTACGCTTGCAGTGTCTTTCTCCCTGGCATGGAGTCCGTTTGCTGATGGCTGCTGCTTCCATTATGAGCCCTTGTGTTTGCACCCTCACGCCCACTCAGCTCTTAGCGCCCTGGAGGCAGGTGCCATCCCTCGTTCACGTGGTGTCCACACCGAGCACCCCAGGGGCCAGCGAGTCATGTTGTCGGTGCTCGGGAAATCTCCTGGCAGAGTTGCCGAATAAGCCGATTGAGTGTGTTTCTAGCAGCCGCTGAGTCAGCTGTCGGAGTAAACGGTTTGTGCGCACTGGGTGTTCTCCGTGGAACCAGCAGCGTGTTCTTCCGGGTTGCGGTGTCTCATGAGCCCGACAAGCTGCTTGCTGTCTCTTGGCCGTCCCCCTTGCCTCCATCTCTGCTCTGCTGCTCTTCCTCCCTCCCTCGCCCACATCACTCCGTGGGTAGCTGAGGATCCTGGGGCTCTTCCTCAGCCTCCCCCCTTGACCTCTTAAATTTGGCTCCTTCAGAGCCTCTGTTCCTTTGGCTCCGTGACAGCCCCCTGTCTTCTCTTGGCCTCCACTGCGGCCCTGCCTCCTCGGTGGGCCTCTCCTATTCTTCCGTCCCTAGAGAGGAGGCTTAACTCGGCTTTCTCCCCTTCCCCACAGCCCACTAAGACTCTGTCACATCTGTGCAGACCCTCCCAAAACACCAGCCCCGTAGCCCTGGTGCCTCTCCTGGCTCCACTCGCGTGTCCCTGCCCTCTCGTTGGGTAGTTCCATGTCAGTGTCCCGACTCCTCTTCACTCAGAGGTGGTCATGTCCCTCCTCTGGCTGCTCCCTGCTGTCACTGCCGTTCTTGTTTTCCTCGGCGCTGAGCCCCGGCGCCCCGGCTTGTTCTCAGCGTCTCCTGCCCAGTCCACCGCCAGCCTTGTGGATTCTTCTGGTGGTGTTCAGCTCCTCCCAGCTCCTCCGTCTACATCTTTCTCCAGGCCCTCATCCTGCGCTTGTACTGGGACATTGAGACCTACCAGGGTTTTTTAACTGCTGAATTATCTTGTTATATTCTGTGGCTATGCACCATTAATGTCTCCTGTGGCCCACAGGGTGGAGCCTAAGCCCCTCAGTGTGACAGTTAAGGCTCTGTCCAGTCTCCTTTCACCTTTACCCCTCCGCTCCCCAGCTGGGACTTGACTTCTGTTAGTGGTTTTGTTCCTCAGGGGCCAGAGCTGCTCAGTTGTCAGGGTCCGGCCGGAAGCCCACACCCACCAGGAGGCTTCTCTTCATCACCCAGCCTGCCAGGAGCTCTCCTGGGGGCTCTCAGTATGGGTTCCCCTTCCTGGCATCTGGCACTTGATCACCTTTCCCTCTGCAGTGGCACTCGTGTTCACGTCTGTAGTGTTTTATTTATGTTTTCCTTGTTTTTAAAGCCGTGTCTCTGTCTGGTTTCCGCAGTAGATTGAAGCTTCCTGCTCTGTCCTTCTGCTTTGTTCTAGTCAGTGTTGGGTGAACTTGGTTGTCCGAATGACTGGGTTCAACGTGATGTGTTCTTGTTTTGTTCCAGGTCAAGAACATCCCCGACGACCCCTGCCACCACTTTCTTCTTGAGTTTGCACAGTCAGACCCTGCCCAGAACTTCTGTGGGCCATTTTCAGAACTTTTCAAAGGATTCATACAGGCATGTAGAAAACAGGCCCCAAAGACAGATATAGTTGCTGGTTCCGCTATTGATCAAGCTGTGAACGCCACCTTTGCCGCTCTGGTGTGTCGCACTCCAGGCTTGTATGAGAAGCTGCAGAAATATGGTAACTTATATTACAGGGATACTTCTGATCCGAAGGCCAGTGGGAACATTTCTAACATTTTGAAATATATCTCTACGCCTGTAGACGTCATCTCGTTAAGTCCTACTCTGCCAGTCAGAAGATCCGTGACCAGTTATAGTTAGTGGATTGTCATGTGTGCAAGGAGCCTTGAGTTTCCTGATCTGCAGGTCACTTCTTTCTCCAAAATCCTTGTGGGAAACTGCCAAGAAGTTTAAGGGAAGGAGACCCTAACTTGAGTTGTAGTCTTGGGCGAGAACTAGAAGTTGCGCAGCTTCAGGGTTACTCACACAAGCTTTCTGTGCCTTCGTCCCCTTATCTGTAAACTCGGGAGTTGGTAGCTCTAACATTCTAAGAAATGCGGGTTAAACCCTGAGTTGTTTTGGTAATTCAGTGTGCTGTTAACCAAGGAGGGAAACATATTCACTCTTATCTTTAGACTGAAAGCTTTTGTCGGCTTCCTGGTTGGTAGCCCGCTCCTCACCATTTCTGTTCCTTGCATCCCCCCGAGATGCCGTCTGCGTCCTGTGTGTGTAGCCGGCAGCCGGTGGGACCCACGGGAGGGAGGGCCTCTCTCTCCCCGTAATCTCTCAAGGGAAAACCCTTTCAAACCCTACGTAAAGAGGACCTAGGACTTTTCCCAAGCACTTTGGCAGGGTGCGTGTTGCCTTCATGGTGCAGATGAGCTGAGCAGGAACAGTGCTTTCCCCATTAGAGCAGGTCATGGATGGTTGCTGCTGTTAAGTATTCCGGTGACGGTCACTCCTGCCCCGTACCGCCCAGTTGTTTAGCTCTCACAGTGCAGAGTTTATTTCCTGATTTCTGAAACATCTCAGTGAATCCTTACTCCCTCAATTCTTAGTATTTCCTTGAAGAAGCTGCTCAAATAAATAAAACTTACATTGAGGCATGAGTGGTTTATGAAAACCAGTGTCCTATGGAAGACTATATCTCTGCTAGGGGGTGGGGTACCAGGTGACCTGCCAGGTTTAAAAAAAAAAATCCAGTTTATGTTTTCATAATCAAATTATAGTAAGAGAGCTGGACAGTCTTTTTTACCTGTGGGAACTCTGAGCAGATGAAAGCCTTGTGAGTTTAAGCTGAGAAAGTTTCTGGCTGGTGGCAGGCTCCCCAGCCCCTTTTCAGATCATGTTCAGATAGCACATCCCTAATTTCAGGAGAGAGACACACACACAGTCTGATGTGGAAACTAGAAACACTTCCCTGAGTACAGGTTGTTTCCAGAATAACCTACCGCTGGGCTTTGGAGGTATAGCTGGTCTCCGTTCTTCAGGGGCTGTTCCCGGGTCCTACCAGGTGGAGCTCCTTGAAGGGTGGGCCTTGTCTAGCTCTAAGAATGTCTTAAAATGACTCACCTTTTTGCATTAGAGATACGTGGGAGGAGTTTTTCAACTAGCCTGTAAGCTGCTTGAGGGCAGAGCCAGGTCGATTTTTCTCAGCATTGTGTTCCCAGCGCCTCCCGCGTGTGTGGCCGGTAGCCCCCGCGCTGTTCTATGACCCTCCAGTTTTTACAAGCCAAGAAAGGAGTTGTTTCCTTTAAACAAACAGCTTCTTTGTTACTTTGCTAATTATAAGAATATTACCCATTCATGTGGAAACTTACAAAGTACAGGAAAGCTTAAGATAAGGATCAGTTGTCATCTCACCACTTCAAGAGCACATCTATTAACATTTTTCTTTGTGTGTACCTGGCCTTTTCATCTGGGCATATTTACATGGCATATGTATCTGTATATGTATCATATATATCTCTCATGTTTCTAATATGTATAGTCTTTTTAAATAGATAATTTTGTGTTTATACTGTTTGGAAACCATGAACTTTTTTCATGTTAATAATTATTTTTTATCTACTTTTAATACTCTTCATTTTACTTTTAATATTTTTGATATTTTACTTTCATATTTTTACTTTAAATATTTTACTCCATTTTTAATAGTATGTCCATTTCAGATGTTCACTTGAATAAAGTGAGTTTGTGGTAACACAGAGAACCCATTATGGGTGTTTGTGGCTTAACTGATCCCCTCCCTTGTTCCACCCACATGGTGTGAGCATCAGGGGAGAGACTTTTTCTCTGTGTTAGGAGATTTAGAAGTTACTTTGTGCTTAAAGTTGCAGTACTGAATTGAGTTAACTGAGTATAATCTCATCGTCTCTCCTTTCCCCAGTAAAAAGTGGGGGCAACACAGCCCTGAGCGAGGAGTTTGCACAGGTGTATTGCTTGGCAGATGGGATTCGAATATGGATGGTAAGATTTTCTTTGCATGTGATTCTTACGTATTTTGAGTTTTCGTACCATGGTTTCACGCAGTTAAGGTAAGCGGCTCTCGAGTTGTTTCTTTTTTTTTTTTAATGAAGTTCAGTGACGTGAAAAGCTCTAAAATAACTTAGAACACGTGAAGTCCTAGTGTAGTGAGTGCTGAGGACATTCGGAGTAAACAGGATGCATCCGTGAGCTCCCGGACACCCTTCAGTAACCCCAGGGCCACTCTGCGGGACCTCTCCGACTGGGCGGACGCTGGTGGCTTTAGGTGGGGGTAAGGCCGCTCTCCAGGGAGAGGCTTCCTGTGTTGTAGAACAGTGGTTCTGTGAGGTTGCTTGTGGCAGCCATGCAGTGGAGGGACAAAGCACCCTTGAGTGGGAGGGCGGGCAGAGAGACTGTATGTTGTGTTACAACGTAACGTGACGTTACCGTGTGAGAGGGTCGCATGGTGCTGTCCTGCCGTGAGTGAAGGAAGTCAGCTCCTGTATCAGCTGGCACGTGATGACGAGCAGAAACAAGTCCTAGAGGAACCCACAAATACGTCCTGTCTCATGTAAAGTTTACACACAACCCAAAGCTGTGTGCTGTTAGGTACATATATTTGTAGTAAAAATCTTCCAAGTCCTGGAAATGATGACCATCAAACTCAGGAGAACCGTTTTTATTTTTCTTAAGCCTGGAGCTGAATCCCTATGTATTATTATTATGGTCCATATATTCACAATCATCTTAAGTCCTCCGTAGTAACTGGGAGGAATCGTTAAGTCTTGGAGAGGACAGGCAATGAGATTGAGAGCAGGAGACCAACTGTAGTTCTTCAACAAGCGTGGTGGCTGCTCCTGGGTGTAGAATGGTCAGGTTCTGTGGCTGGTGTGAGTGGTGTGCAGTGGTGTGTTGTCCAGGACCCTTCCCACGTTCCCGGCTTGGGGACTTGCTGGGTGGTGGAAGCATTAACCAGACGGCGGGGAGATGGCCTTGGAGCTGGGAGTGGGCGGGTGGGGGGGGGGTGTGAGTTCATTCTGGGACATGCTAAGTATGAGGACACACAGGTGATCTGAGACACCTAGCCGGAGGAGTCAGGGAACCTGTAAGAATCTAGCAGACGTGTCAGAACAGAGATACGAGGAGCTCCAAATCATTGGTGAACAGATTCTCTCAAGAGAAGCTAGAAGGTATTGTCATCAGGAGGGTGTGAGGAGGGTCACAACAGTGTGTGGAGGGAAACCAGGGCTGTAGTAGCGGCGTAAGAAAAAGAGTGATAAAGTCACTACCACAGACACTCAAAGTGAAAGGACTTGGCAGTTGACGAGGCACAGCATAGATCGCGCTTCTGGTTTAGTGTAGGACAGACTGCTGATGCCTGGACAAGACACCGGCCTTCTTTCCCAGACGTGGCCTTCTGCATGGGCTGTCAGCACCATGGCCCACGCTGTGACCATTGCCTGCGCTGGTACTAGGAGTGCTGTTCTCTGCCTGGCAGGCCCAGCATCACTTGCAAGCGTCCCCTCACACAGGGTAGAGTAGAGATCGAATTTTGGTCCAACTTCTGCAGCAAACTGGGTGTGTAACCCTAGCAAGACCCTTCATTTCTCTAGACCTCCACTTCTTTGTACTAGGTCGGCTTTGGAGAGGGGCCCCTCCAGCTCCAATGTTCTACGTTTTGTTTAAAGATTTTATTTCTTTATTTGAGAGAGAGAGGGGGTGAGAGCGCGCACAAGTGCGGGGGCGGAGGAGGAGCAGAGGGAGAGGGAGAAGCAGACTCTGCGCTGAGCGCGGAGCCCAATGCAGGACTCGATCTCAGGACCCTGAGATCACGACCTGAGCTGAAATCAAGAGTTGGACGCCTAACCAACTGAGCCACCCATGTGCCCCGACTTTTTAAGTAATGGGATCAGGGGTACAACCCCCTCCCCAACAAGGCATAGTTGAAAAGAAGGCAGTGTTGCGGATATACTGTTAGCTTCAAAGCCTGGATTACTTTTAGGACAAGCAATAAACAGCTGAGATCTGTGTCCTCAAGAGTTGGACAGTAATTGTACAGTTCTCCGTGATGTCGTGCTGTGCGCAGTGGCCCTGTCTGGACACTGTAATTGTGTGGCTCAAACTCTCCCCCCAGTTGGAGATGAAGCAGAAGTCCCTGATAAACCTGGGGAATGAGGCAGAAGAAAAACATGGGTCAGAAGCGGCTGAGGTGAACCCCGAGAGCCTGGGTGAGTGTGCTGAGCCTTCTGTTTGCACTTCCTAGGAAACTGGTGACCCGTCTTCGAGATGATTTTATTTATCTGAGAGAGAGAAAGAGAGAGAGAGAGAGAGAGAGAGAGCACGAGCTTGGGGAGGGGCAGAGGGAGAGGGAGCAGCAGGCTCCCCGAGGAGCAGGGAGCTCGACGTGGGGCTCGATCCCAGGACCCTGGGATCCTGACCTGAGCCGAAGGCAGACGCTTCATCGACTGAGCCCCCCAGGTGCCCCTCTTGTTGTTTTTAAAGTGTGCTGTCAGTGAATGTTCAGTGAGATTAAGGAATTAGTGATATCATGGTTCTGTTAAAAACTTGCTATTTTAGAGAAATGTGAAGTTTTTAGATGAAATAGGGTGATCCCTGCGATCTGCATGGAAATAGCCTAGGGGAGGGGGTGGCTGGTGAAACGAGACTGGCCTTGGGCAGGGTCAGGGGTACGTGACGGGGTCCTCATAGTCTTTTCTCTCTGCATGTTTGAAATATCCACAATAGGAGCGCCTGGGTGGCTCAGTCAGTTGAGCTGCTGACTCTTGATTTCGGCTCAGGTTGTGATCTCAGGGCCCTGGGATCGAGTCCTGTGTGGGGCTCTGCGCTTAGTGAGGAGTCCGCTCGAGAGTCTCTTCCCCTCCCCTTGCCCCTCTCCTCACTTGAGTGCACTCTCTCTCCCTCCCTCCCTCCCTCCCTCTCTCTCTCAAATAAATAAGTAAATAAAATCTTAAAAAAAAAAAGGTGCACAAGAAAACTTCCTTTTAAGTGTACTGACAGTGCTGGGAAGATTTTGATTTGTATAATGACAGAAGAGTTTATTTTCTTCAGAAGCTGTGTATGTCACTTTTTTTTTTAATTTCCTTTTAAAGATTATTTGAGAGAGAGAGAGAGAGCACGAGAACAGGGTGAGGGGAAGAGGGAGATGTATGTCACTTTATTAATGGAGGTATTTCTTGTCCAAAATTGTGGAGTTTAAAGAGATTCTTTTCTCTCCAAAAGTAAGCAGTAAGTTGAATTTTGACCTTTCTGCATTTAGCAAAAGAGTGTATTCAGAAGAGCCTCCTATTACTAAGATTTTTGCCTGTGGGAGTGAGTTCAAAAGAAAGCTGTGACAGGTTGGTGGCTGCAGATGAAACGGATCACCTCCAGCCACGGGACAAGCGCCCGAGGACGAGCTCTGTGGTGGAGGAGCATTTCCAGGCCTCCATGTCTCCTGTGGAAGCGGGCACCCTTGCTGCGGGCGTTGGGGGTCCTGGCTTGGATGTGCAGCCGAAGCTGCCGCCCAGCAGCGGGCACCCTGCCGCTGAGGTGTCCTCTGCCGCCGCCGAAGAGCCCTCGTCACCTTCTACCCCCGCCCGGCGGCCTCCCTTCACCCGAGGCCGACTCCGGTTGCTCTCCTTCCGGTCCGTGGAGGAGGCGAGGCCAGCGCCCACAGTGAAGGAGAAGTACCCCATGCTGAAGGATGTCCTGGACTTCATCAAGGACCAGTCCCTCTCCCACGAGAGGTGAGCCGCCAGTGCCCTCCCCATACTCAGCGTTCACGTACAAGTGAGCAAGGAGTACTGGAAGGAGAGATCCAAGATTTGTGTTAGAACGGTCAAGACAAAATTGGGTGGTTACTTTTTTCTTTTAAGAAGTATTTTCTCACTGAAGGCTTGTATGTTACATGGTAGGTAAATTAGATCTCAGTAATGTATGCTAGGATTAAAAAAAAGAAGTTGGTTTTGGTAGCTGTCATTTATAAATGTGTCTTATATTAATCCTGGGAGAAACTTAGGATTTGAGATTTTCTGACAAAATTATCTGTCAGTGGGTCTGCATCTCTGGAAGTATTACATGTTTTAATAATTTCCTGCCCTAAGAATTAAAGCTTTGTCTCCGTGGGGCAGTAAAAAGATCAGAGTTCCTTTCTCATTCCTGAATTTGCAAGTTTGGGGTACCTGGCTTCTGGACGCTTTGTGAGCTGGCTCCTGTTGCTGCTGAGCAGTGACGGACAGGAGCCAACAGGGGCAGGTCCCCCTCCAGAGTGACGCTCCTACTGATACTGTGGCACCAGCTCGAGCTCTCTTGCTGCCCCTGACTTGATCTCTGTCTGCAGTGTCGTAAAGGTTCTTGCCTTGAGGAGAGCCCAGGCACAGAGTATCCTCGAAGTCCTGAGGATCGTTCAGTATTGCTCAGAGTCCCTCGGACAGCCTCACTGCTTCCATCCACCATACATACTTTTCCTGTTGGAGCTTCTCACCTGCCAGAAAGAGTTTACCAAGTAAGTACAAATCACACATCTGCAAGGAAAACAGGCCCGGGTAATTGTAAAGAAACCCTAATCGTCTTTAATTAGTAACTATTATTTCCATGTAGGATTTGAATTTGTTTTTGGTCAGTTTTCTCATCCTAAGGAGAAATGGGTTCTTTCTAGTAAGTAAGTACCTGAAATCTTGTTTATTCCTCCTCTTGAGTTTATCAGCTTTATTTTACCAGTCAGTGAGGATTGTGTTCCCTGTGTACCCACACCCATCAGGTGGCTCCTGGAAGCTGTGAACTAAATTTAATTTTCATTTACAGTGAGGACATTAATCTGAGTACCTCACAAGGTGGTTCTAATAGCCACTCAACAACTGTTTCCTGAGCGTTGACTATGTCAGGCGCTGTGCTAGGTGATGGATGTGCAGCAGTGGATGAGGCAGACAAGAGTCTTGTTCTAATGGGGCTTGTATTTTTTTTTTTTTAAGATTTTATTTATTTGAGAGAGAGAGTGCATGCACACAAGCAGGGGGTGGGGCAGAGGGAGAGGGAGAAGCTGACTCCCCACGAAGTGGGGAGCTCAACAAGGGGCTCAGTCCCAGGACTCCAGGATCATGACCTGAGCCAAAGGCAGACGCTTAACCCCCTGAGCCACCCAGGTGTCACTACTGGAGCTTGTATTCTCTTGAGGAGAGACAGATGATAAAAGAAATCCATCCATTCCTCCATCTATGTAATGTGTCCATCCCAGGTATGTGGTCAGCTCCAACAGAGTGATGTAGTTTGCGTGTTCAGGGAGTGGGGCTGAGAAGTCAGCCTGTAAACCAAGAGATGAATGACCAGTGAGCTCAGAGGGAAGAGCACTGCATGCAGAAGGAACAGCGCAGAGGCCCTAGGGTGAGGGCTTGGCCCCAGGAACAGCACGAAAACTGGCATGCCTGAGTGAGAGGGGATGGCAGGAGACCAGCTCAGGAAATGAGTCGGGGTCAGATGATGCCGATCTTTGTAGGACGGGGTTTAAGGTGTGTGGATTTCATACTGAGTTGTAGGTGGGAGACCCCTGGGGAATCCCAAGCCCAGGAGGAACACACTGTTACATTTATGAAAGTCACTTCTGGCTAGTCTGTGGGAAAGCGTGGACGGAAGCAAAGTAGTCGGGAGACGATGTAGTCGGCCAGGCGGGCGGTGGCAGGCTCTGGACCCTGGAATGGTCCTGGAGATGGAGAGAAAGGAGGGCACTCAGGATCTGCTTTGGAGGTAGAGTCACCCGGACGCACCAATGGATTGGATGGAAGGAACCGTGAGGGAGGGGCTGTTGGATGTTGGCTATAGCAGTTGGTGGATCGTGACGGATTTTACTGAGGGGAAGAGAATGGAAGAAACAGATTGGGGCGAAAATCAAACATTGCTCTGGCATGTTAACTTGGACCTGCTTTTTTCACATCCAAGTAATGTTATCCAGGGAGTAAAGGTAAGGGTCTGAGGTTCTGGAAAGAAGCCAGGGCTAGGGATAGAGTTTGGATGTGGTCAGCACGCGGATGATCTTTACAGCCATGAGACTGGCTGATCGAGAAAGAGCGTGGAGATGGACAAGAACGGGGTCAAGACCGAGCCCGAGGGGCACCTCTTACTCAGAGCTCAGGCAGAGGAAGAGGGGTCAACTAAGGAGAGCACGAAGGAGTAGCCATCAGGAGCGAAACCCAGGGGATGACGGGGTCCTGGAAGCCAAGAGAAGAATGTGTCCATTGTGTCAAATGCTGATGTGGGAGGTGGCGCCACACTGGATTCGTCTGCAGTCCTGTTGGGGCCAGGGGGCTGAAGGCCCAGCTGGACTGGGTGGAGAGGAAAATGGGGGGGGGCAAAGGGAGGGAGAGACCACAGACAATCATTTCAAGATCCTTGGCTTTAGGGGCGCCTGGGTGGGGCTCAGTCGTTGAGTGTCTGCCTTCGGCTCAGGTCATGGTCCCGGGGCCCTGGGATCGAGCCCCACATTGGGCTCCCTGCTCAGCGGGAAGCCTGCTTCTCCCTCTCCCACTCCCCCTGCTTGTGTTCCCTCTCTCGCTGTGTCTCTCTCTGTCAGATAAATAAATAAAATCTTTAAAAAAAAAAAAAAAAAGATCCTTGGCTTTAGAGTGGTGCAGAGGAAAAGGCAGAATTGCAGGGGACATGGGCTCAGCTGAGGGTTTTTAAGATAAGGTGTTAGTGCATTTCATATGCTGGTGGGAAAGCATCAGTCCTGACACACACTTGATGCAGGAAGAGAGGGCCCATCGCACGGCAGGTGCAGATGCACAGGTTTGGTTTGCACAGAGCCGGGGGACCATCTGTGGCGGCAGGAGCAGCATGGTGCGGATGGAGGGGCAGACCGGTTGGTTGGTTTGGTGGTGCAGAGATGGGGGAGCCTGTGTGATCTTTCTGTTTTTTAAAATTAAAATCGCGTAGTCCTAGCTAAAAGTGAAGGGCTAGGAGAAGTCGTGGCAGCTTAAGGAGAGGCTTGAAGGGTTGAAACAGTAACGCGAGGTGAGAAAGCCAGTCTGACTTGACTGGCGGAGTGCTCCGAGGGCTTCTTTGAGAATTGTGGTCGTGAGTTGAAAGTGGCACCCGTCGGCCTGGTGCCTGCTGTTTCCTCTAGCAGCACTGTGCTGTTTTGATACCGGCATAAGCTCTCACAGGCCAGTCTGTGGAGGGAGAAAGCAGCAGGGTGCTGGCGGTTGCTTGGGTGAGGTGACGGTGAGAGGGGCCGTGGGATCTCAGCCGGGTCGGCAGTGCCCTGAGGCAGCGCCACAGGTTGGGGTTCCTTGGGGTGGAAGTCACTGTTGTGGGGCCGCGGGCAGAGCAGGACGCTCTGAATCCAGTCAGGATTTCAGAAGTCCTGCCGTCACTGTGGTGACGAGGTCAGAGAAGTGCCCGTCAGCCTGGAGGTGACCATGGCAGAGGCGCCGGGGCGTCGTTCCCGTGGATCCTGAAGTCTCCCAGGGGACAAGGGTCGAGGTGGAAGAGGCAGCGAGCTTGGTGCTGAGGTCATTGGGGAGGGAAGGGGAGGGTGGGCAGGGCCGAGGGGCCTGGCTGCGGTGAAGGTCCGGGGGGCGGGTTAGATTAACCAGAAGAAGTCCTTGTCTTCCCTCACTCCTGGCCCGGCAGGCGGGCTCCTTGCTGCCGCGCTGCCACTCCCTGAAGTTACGTGCTCACGCTGACTCCGGCCTCCGCGCCACTTGGCTCAGCTGCTGGGCTCTGTTCTGCAGAAGGAATCACGACCGTGAAGTCAGTGCTGTTTCGGCAATTAAGTGATCAGCACTTTTCTCTGTGTCTAGTTATTTCGCGCACTTGGAGGGCTGTGGTGCACATCTGCACAGAGAGATTCGAGACACTTACTACCAGTTCGTTCTGTTTTTGGTCAAAGCAGTTAAAGGATTTAGCAGCATCAATGACAGGTACTGTATCACTTTATCATCTCTAGAGAACACATTATTTCTATTTTTGCTGACTTTAGAAGAAATACATGTTCAGTGTTGAAAATGTGGAAAAACACAGACTGAAAAAGAAAATGATAATCCCTGACGTTACCATCTAGCGCTAACTGCTCGCATGAACTTACTTAGATACTTTGTCCCAGCCTTTTTTCTTTGTGCTGTGTCATTTTTCAAGGGGATGGTTCTTGGTTTATGTAAGAACATGTAACCTGTCCTTTTCAGTTTCTCGTGTATTATGTGCAGTTTTAAGACTTGGGTGTGAAGCCATTCCCCAGTATCATCCCTCATAGGTGGTTTAGACAGAAACCTTAAATCGGACAATCTTCCTCTCCATCCGCGCTGAAGGAATGACCTGCGCTAATTGGGACCAGCTACTTATCGGGTCATGATTTTTACGCTCTGTCCTTAACCACAAAATGCCCCCAGGCAGGCATGGTGGAAACCTCACGTCGTGCTTCCAGGACTCTTGCCCAGCTGTCCTTGGAGAGGGGCTTGTGTGGAGTGTCAGGAGTCTGCTCTCAACCTGCAGACACACCAGGTTCTGACTTGCGTCTTGTGCCATCCCCGCTGGGGATGGCAGCCTCGATAACTTGCACCTTCATGGGCTCCTTAGGTCCTTGCTGCCTGCCTTGTCCTGTGTGCAGACAGCCCTGCTCCATCTTCTGGATATGGGCTGGGAACCCGCCGATCTCACCTTCTTTGTGGACATTCAGTTACCACATCTCCTCATGAAGATGTCACAAGAAAATATAAGTGTGCACGACAGTGTGATCAGGTAAGAACCCAGTCCTGCACCCCTCAGTGCCCGGAGCAGAGGAGTTCGGGGCCCGGTTGCTGGCATCAGACTGCCCGTAGTGCACCCTGGCTCTGCCACGGCCCCGTCGGGTGACCTTGGGACACTCATTTGTGCCCACCGTGCCTCCGTTTCCTCCTCCTTACGCCTGGAGGGTAGTAACGGTACCTACCTCAGAGGATCATTGTGAAGGTAAATGAGTTGTGTTTCTCAGGGTTGACGACAGTGTCTGGTTCATGGAAGTGTGGGGAAGGTGGTGGTGACGGGACTGTGAGGGCAGGGCCCCTCCGCATTTGTGGAGACCCTGGTCCAGCTGAATCGGAGAGCCCTTTATTCTTCAGTTACGTGTGTATGGGGTTTTAGCCAGGGTAACCTCTGCACGTTATAAGGACTTAAGACACGAGGAAAAATAGTAGGCGAATTTTCTTTCCTTTCCGATGTAATGAGTGTCTCTCCACCCTGCTCGAGTCCACTTAACCTCTCAGCTACTCGTGTGCATAGAGAAGAAAGAACAAAACGAGAGACGGAAGGCATGTGGGACAGGACCGGGGGAATGGGTGGCTCAGTGTTGGCACCGGCTTCACTTTCTCAGACGTTCTGGGCGTTCTGGAAGAGGGGCTAGAGCTACACCTGTCCCCTTGTGTCCCCGGCCCTGGCACACAGCCGGGGTGGGCGTGTGAGCCCATGCCTGCGCCAAGGAGTCCTGGAGGGCCCCCCCAACCACTTGTGGTTCCCCAGCGCCCAGCCCAAGCTGAGTGCAGGGAGGCCTGGCGGCAGTCTGTTGGGACACAGGAATCAACAAGTGTGTGTTGGTTGCTTGGTAAATAGTTTGCATTTGTGGTTGAGCAAATCCTTTTATATTTAAAATTCTGGTTGTTAAAACAAACTGTAAGCTGAAATTATGGAAATTCATGACTCTGCCTATAAAAGGAGCCCATGAGATTATCTGTGTGAAACTATTTGCACTGAGGAGACTGAGGACCAGGGCTGAGTGCGGTATCAGGGCCTTAGAGCCACTGGTGGGAGAGCCAGTCCCCGGGGCCTCCGGCCTCCCTTGCATGCTGATACCGCCAGAGTCACAGAGGAGGTTCACCACACATGGTTGTCGGGGAATTACACCCAGCAGGTACAACCGTTCAGGCTCTAATTCCTCAGCTGTTGTAGTCTGCTCTGGAAAGGGCATCTTCCTCTTACGGGTATGTTCTGTCAACAATCTCCGCAAATCCTGGGGCTTTGAAAACCAAATGCACATCTTCCCCTCAGAAGTTTGAAAATGCTGCATCTGTTAGGCCGGTAGGACACAAAGTCTGTTACCCAGCTCTTCCTAGAGTATCGGGAGAGGTATCTTTTTCTCTCCGTGTGTCCTTCTTTCAGCCAGTGGAGTGAAGAAGACGAGCTTGCTGATGCCAAGCAGAATTCAGAATGGATGGATGAGTGTCAGGATGGCATGTTTGAGGCCTGGTATGAGAAAATAGCCCAGGAAGATCCAGAGAAGCAGAGGAAAGTAAGACCTCTCAGCTGGAGTGATCTGAAGTGATTGCCTGGGAGTTTGGAGGGGAGAGTCTGCCTGGGGGAATGCCAGTGGGTTCCCAGGGGTTAGTCCACCTCCTGGGAAGGCAGCTGTCACCGACTCTGCTCTCTAGACTCTGGGGCGGGGGTGGGAGGGGTGGCGGGATTGGGGAGGGGGGGGCCTGAACCCTGGCCTGGCCAGACCCTGGTGAGGCAGCTGTCACCAACTCTGCTCTCTAGCCTCTGGGGTGGGGGAGAGGGCATGGGAGTTACGGGGTGTGGGGAGCGGGCCCTGAACCCTGGCCTGGCCAGACCCTAGCGAGGCAGCTGTCGCCGACTCTGCTCTGTAGCCTGGACTGGCCACACTCAGAGCCCGAGGCTCCCTCCTATAGAACTGGACTCTCAGAGTGTGGCCTCGTGAGGCTGAAGTACAACATGAGGTGCCAGGTTATTAATTTGCAGTGAGAGAGAGAACTGCCAAAGGCCCTGGGCTCCGGTGTCCTTGAGCAGCATGCTCTTCCTGTAGGCGAATAACACGGAGCCACGTGTCCGTCACAGGCTGCCTGCTGAGCACAGGAGCAGCCATGTGCACACACGGCCCGAGTTACGTGGGTCAGATGCACGGAGGCCCCAGGCTCAGATAGCCTGCCGAGTCCTTCTCCACATGAGGTGTTGATCCACCACCACCATATTGTGCCAGGCATCTCCTGCCTGATTCATTCATTTTGTTAGTATTGCATGCCTACTGTGTGCCAGTTACTTTGCTCATGGAGCACCTCTGTGGTGCTTGGATGGAGCACACCAGTGTGGCCTTTGTATGTTAGTATCTTGCTGGGGGGTGATGTGGCAGATCTGCTTTAATCTACTGTGGTACGGCGACTTAGTGATTTATTTCCCATCTTTCTGGGCTGTAAAGAGAAACTGTACCAAGGCCTGCGGCTACTTTCAATAAAGCTTGCTCGGGGAGCGGCGCCCTTGCTGTCCCCCTAGGTTTTCCTTTTAAGTGCCAGCAAAAACAGTGCTTCCTCGGCAGTGTCCCTGTGTCTCTGAACACTTCCCTGTCCGACCACATGTCCAGGCTAGAAATCTGGATGTTGCCCTTGACCTCTCCTTTCTGTGACCCCGTGTCTGCTCCGTCCCCGAGGCACCACACCTCTGCCTCCTTAGCACCACTCAGGCCTGCCCACCTTTCACAGCTGTCTCGCCCACAGTGCCGTGCAGCCCTTAGCCCATCATGGGGCTACCTTGACAGCCACTCTCGTGGCCGGTCTCCCCGGCTGTGGTCTTGTCTCCTTCAGTCCATTCTCCCATCAGTAGCCAGAGGAACTTTTTAGAACGCTCAGAGTGATCACATTACTCCACCTTTCTCCCGCTCTGTATCACGTTCTACACCCAGGCACTGGATTACCACCAGTCCTAGGAGCCACCGTCCTGCCCTCTTGTTGCTTCCAGTAGAACTTGCTACTGATTTTGTTCGGTGTGCCCGCCACCCTTACCCCCACCTGGCTGATACCTGTCTGCCCTCAGGTCTCAACATGGAGTTACCTCCATGACCTTCCTGACAGCCGCTGATAGCCTGGCTGGGCTTTCTCGGGCCCTGACTTTGTCCCTCAGACCTGCTGTCACACTGTGCGGTCACTCAAGGTGTTCCCAAGTAGACGCCAGGCTCCTGCACCCTCTCAGCCTGGCACCTGGTGCCGTGCGGATGAGGTGTTGAAGGGTGACTCGACTGCTGAGTCGTGGCCACGTCGTGAGTCTGTTGGCTCACTGTGTGTATCTCACCCTACAGATGCACATGTTTATTGCTCGCTACTGTGACCTGTTAAATGTGGACATCTCTTGTGATGGGTGTGACGAGATTGCGCCCTGGCACCGCTACCGATGTCTGCAGTGCAGCGACATGGATCTCTGCAAGACTTGCTTCCTAGGTGCGTGCCGCCCCCAAAGGGGTCCTTCTTCTGTTTCCTGCGAGCTTGTCGTTTAAGTCCTGTTGTGCTACATAGAAACACTGCCCAGTGGTAGTCCCTGACCCGTTGGCAGATAGTGAATGACAGGCTCCAGAGCCATTCTCTGACATGCTTCTGTCTTCCATCCTGCCAGGTGTAGGTACTCGATAAACACACAGGACCACTGAATGTACCTTCAGCTGAGTTTCCAGAAGATTGTGCTCCCTGAATCGTGCAAAGTTTACAAGGAGTCAGATACACACACACAAAAGCAGACATCCCAAAGTCTTGACTATTCTTGATGTGTAGGTGCTGAGGTAGGGCTGACAAACAGTTGTGAGCAGCTGAGTGCTCTGTGTGCATGTGCCAGTCACGGCAGCACCCCCAGCACAAGGGTGTGCATGCTGAGTTACGGAGGAGGGATACAGAGTATTGTAGCAAAGTTCGGAAGGGGTAGCAATTGCTGTTGCAGGGAAAGCTTGGGAGGTGGTGGGAGGTGCGATGGGAATTGGTCTCTGAAGAAAGTCACAGCTGGATGATGTGAAGGCAGCGCATCACCGTCCGACACAGAGCCAGTCAGGGACAGAGGCGTGAGCATCTGCGGTGTGTCTAGGTCAGCGCACTCAGGTGTCTTTCTGGCTGAGTGACAGGCTCAGACAGGGAGGGCCCAGACCTGAACCCTGGGGCAGTCAGCCAAGACATTGAGTGAATCTGTGGACAATGGGGTTTTGACATCACTGGAGCTCTGCTGGAGGAAGGTGGCTCTGGCCTTATAGGGGTGTCCTTCAGGGAGTCGGTCACAGCAGTGACCAGGCTCTCGGCAGCAAGAGCAGAAGTGGGCCAGGTGCGAGGAGTGGTCAGCAGGGTCGGGTCTGTGGTGGGGTGCAGAGCCCCACCGAGCTGGGACCACACAGGACACAAACGCTTTCTCACTCACTGGGTTTGAGGTTGTGGATTCTGTTTTCCTCTGTGATTCTGGAATGAAAAAGTGGGAGCAAAAACCTGGTCACTCCTCACTGCTTGTTAACAGGGATACACAGCAGATGCTTAATGTTTGTCAGAGGAGGGGTCACATGGGAGACAGCTCACAGATGGGCATGTGAACTTTGTTTCTGCTAGATGGTGGTCATGATGGGGATTGGTAGTACATTCCATCAGACTCTGTGTGGTGCTGGGAAAGGGGGTTCGGTGCGTGGTATCATGGCTAAGAAGTTCTGTGCCGAGAGTACTGTTGATGTGCTCAGAGCCCCTGGGCAGAACACCCTGGTCTCCAGAAGATGCCTGTGGCCCCTGACGTCCTGAGCAGTAACTTGGCAGAGCCCTGCTTCTGGATTGGTTTGCGTTTGGAAGCTAGCACTTCTGAGAGCCCTTTGCCCAATCCACCTCATGCTAGTGTTCTTTCCCCAGGTGGGGTGAAGCCCGAGGGCCATGGAGATGACCACGAGATGGTCAGCATGGAGTTCACCTGTGACCACTGCCAGGGTTTGATCATCGGCCGGAGGATGAATTGCAATGTGTGTGATGACTTTGATCTCTGCTATGGGTGCTATGCGGCAAAGAAATACTCCTATGGGTATGTTCTGATCACTTCTGGCCACAGAACGCTTTCTTTGTGTATTCCTCTGCTGTGTGTGGTGTGTCTGGTATGTGTCTGTGTGTGTGTGTGTGTATGTGTGTGTGTAAAGCCTTTTTACTCTAACGGATTTTAAACACACCACAGGTAAAGAAACTAGTGCACCGAATCCCCATCTAGCCTTTACCTAGATTCAGAAGCTCGGAGGAGTTTGCTCTCTGGGCTTAGCTTATTCTTTTCTTTTTTTCTTTGTTAGTGTTTTAAATCAAATCATAGACCTTAGATCATTTGCCTCATACATACTTCATATTCACCTCTAAAAATTATGAGCATTGGGATGCCTGGATGACTCAGTCGTTAAGCGTCTGCCTTCAGCTCAGGTCATGGTCCCAGGGTCCTGGGGACCTGGGGACCGAGCTCCTGCTCGGCGGGGAGCCTGCTTCTCCCTCTCCCGCTCCCCCCTGCTTGCGTTCCCTCTCTCGCTGTGTCTCTGTCAAATAAATAAATAAAATCTTAAAATAGTAGTAATAATAAAGCTTTTCACGTGGGAGAGTGTCGAATTAAAAAAAAGGGGGGGACGCCTGGGTGGCTCAGTCGGTTAAGCACCTACCTTTGGGTCAGGTCATGATCCCAGGGTCCTGGGATCGAGTCCCACATCAGGCTCCTTGCTCAGTGGGGAGCCTGCTTCTTCCTCTGCCTGCCGCTCCCCCTGCTTGTATTCTCTCTCTCTCTCTGACTAATAAATAAAATCTTTAAAAAAAAAAAATTATGAGCATTTTCTGACATTACCAAAACGATATTATCACACTTGGAAAATTTCACAATAGGAACTCTTCTTCCTCCTTCCACAGGCAGTGTTTTGCCTGGGCAGGGTTGGGGGGTGTGAAATCCTGAAATGGTACACACAGTGTTTGTGTTGGTTCATTTCTCTGGGGAGAGGGCTCATTCCTGTCTTTAAATTTTCAGTTACCACAGCCTTAGAGGTCACCGCGCCCAGTGGAGGCCACGCACACGCCCCCTGAGGTCCTGTTCTTTTTGAGCCCTCAAAAAGTCAGCCATAATCATGTCTTGCCTTTGCAGCCACTTGCCCACCCACAGTGTCACAGCCCATCCGATGGTGACCATCCGGATCAGCGACCGGCAGAGGCTCATCCAGCCTTACATCCACAACTACGCCTGGCTGCTCTTTGCGGCCTTGGCTCTCTATAGCGCCCACCTGGCCAGCGCGGAGGAAGTGGAAGGGGAGAAACTGGGTCCCCAGGACCGGGGCAGTGCCAGCGCCCTTCGGAGCCAGTGCATGCAGCTTGTCGGGGACTGTCTGATGAAGGCTCACCAGGGAAAAGGTACTCGTCCCTGCGCACGGAACCAAGCCGACTCTCAGCTGCTTGTGCAGGAAAGGCCTTTGCAGGAGTGAAATACCGTGCTTGGTGAGAGGCAGCGTGACCCACTTTCCACGACAGGCGCTCACCCTGCTTTGGAGCTAATTCCAGATTCCCACGTGCATCTGAGAAAAATTGTGTCATCAAAATGCATTCAGTTGCTCTAAAATATTCCCATGAAGATGTAAAAAAAAGTAATAATTAAAACTCTTAATGTCTGTGGATCAAGTACTTAGTATTTGAGCCTACCAGTCTTAGCTTGCCAAAGGAATACTGTTTTTAACCTGGAGTGCAGATCTATTCCATGTAACTGCATTCTAGATGAGAGCTGTTTGTAATTAAAGTCGTTTGACTAACAAAATACCTCAGTGACTTTGACTTGACTGAGGGGCACTGAGGGGAATGTAACGTGCATGTTACACGTTGGAGGTGTTTGAATCCCGCTCAGATTATGGGACTCTCTGTTCTAGGATATGGTGGGGACATCAGGCCTGTGTTGGGCAGCGTGTGGGCAGTACCAGTGCTCCCGGGCTTGCCAGTGGGAACGTAGACACCTAGTTGCGTGGGGCTATAGTGGAATTGTCATGTTTATGATTTTCTAAGTAGACAGTCCTCTCGTGTCTCTGTCTTCTGTGCTAATAAAGTACAGGCATTCCTCACTACTCAGACTTTTGGTGCCTGACGTCAGGAGCCAAGTAGATGTGGATAGCCCAGGAGGTTCATACTGAGTGAGCTTTGGTTTGGTTTGTGGAGAACCCAGCCATCTCCTTCCATATAGTGATTTATGGCATTTGCAGGAAATGACTTCATTCTAAAATTTTTAACCATTCTCTTATTTGCTCCCCATGTAGGTCTGAAAGCTCTAGCTCTTCTTGGTATACTGCCAGATGGTGAATCTGGTCCAGACAGTCGGGCCCCATCGGTCACCGTGCCCGCCCACACACCAGAGGAGGAGAGAGCCGTCCGGGGTGCTGAGGACCCGTCCCACACAGGCCCTTCTGTGCCCTGCAGGGTATGTCACAGTGCATTAGTAGGCAGGCTCTCAGGTCGAAACGGGGAGCCATTTGCAGGTGGGGGCAGAGCAGAGCAGTTAAGGCCACATACTCTTGACCTAGATCCTGGGTTCTAGCCCTGTTCTGTCAGGCCCCGGGCACATTGCCACAATCTGTTCACTTCACTTTCCCATCTGTGAAATGGGGCGAGAATACTAATACCCGTTCATAGGCTGTTCTGAGGATTTACACACATTACATAGCAGCTAATGTATATAAAGTGCTTAAGACAGTGTCTGTAGTATGTTCCATATCAGTGTGAACCGTTCCTGTCACCTGCCTTCTGGTGGGGTTGCAAGGAAGGAAGATGGTGTACCTAAGGAGATTCGTTCCTGGCCCATGGTGAACACTGTGTATGCTGTGTATGCGAAGCTTTTATTTTTTAGAGAGAGAGCGTGTGCCGTGGGGGTGGGGATCAGAGGGAGGGCGAGACAGAATCTCCGGGACCCTGACTCCACGCCCAGCGCAGAGCCCGACGTGAGGCTCGATCTCACGACCCTGAGATCATGACCTGAGCCAAAACCTAGAGCCAGACGCTTAACGGACTGAGCCACCCAGGTGCCCCGAAGCTATTCTTATACTCGGTGCTTTCTGTTTACCAAACAGACACAGTAGTTTGCGTGCTCCTGTGTAGGTAGAAGGGAAGCCTTCTGGATCCAGATGTAGCCTGTCACCGCAATCTTAAAGTTGGTTTTGTGGGCGAGCACAGCGTAGCTTCTGCAGTGCTGCCTCCGAAGCTTGAGGTCTTGGGTGCTGTGAGCGCCCTGGGCTTGGTCTGAGGAGTGGCGGGTGTTTCTGTCCTCCGTCTCTGTCACATTCACTAGTTCAGGGATCCCCCGTTTGGTGGTTGTACTCACCAAGATCTCGTCGCCCTTTAGAGCAAGGCAAAAGCAAAGATGGCTGGTGAAAACTTGAGAATTCTGTCAGCTTTACTCAGCCGGAGAGGCAGCACCAGACAGACCACATCAGCTTCAGACTGGTCTCTGGGGTGCCAACATTTCTGACCACAAAACCCCTCGTCCGCGCGGCACTTTAGCCACCCACAGATGGTGCTGGGCAGAGAGGACATTGTCAGCAGGGGCAGTCTTCACCCCTGAGCCCAGAACGGTTGTGTCTTCCCCTGAGCTCCTAGCGTCTCTGCACCCGTAAGCACTCTGCTACCTGTGTGCCCACTTACCATCAACTCATATCAGAGTGACCTGGATGAATTTGTGTTCTTCCATGGATTAAAATCGATTACTTTTCGGGGCTCCTGGCTGGCTCAGTCTGTAGAGCGTGTGACTCTTGATCTCGGGGTTGTGAGTTCGAACTCACAAGCTCTATGTTGGCATAGAGCTTACTTAAAAGTGAAATCTGTAAAATCTGCTACTTTTCAGTGTGTATTTTGATGCTGAAATTGTCCAGTGTTTGGCCAGTGGAAGCTCCTCCCACCTAGCTTCGGTGTCCTTCTGATACTCCTTTTTCTTTGAGCGCTTCCTTAATTTTTGTTGCAGAAAGAGGTTTTAGGCTCATCTTAGAGGCTTTCCGTGGCCCAAGGAAAAAGGCCTGAGGAAGTGCAGGCCAAGGGCTGTCATCCTGCCAATCTGGGCAGCTCACTACCTGACTCTTGAGCCCAGGAAAGCCTCCCCACTCCAGTGAAAGCCCCCTTAACAAGGCTCCTTGCCAAAATAAAATTCTCAAAGGTGTAAGCCAGCTCAGTGTGCTAGAAAGAATTCCACACCGTTTTTTCTTCTTCCCAAGAGAAGAACGTTCTGTACAGGGCTTCTAAAGGCTAAATAGAACATATTAGAGGTTTGTAGTGGGGCCATGGCTTATGAGACTGAGGGCTCTGACGTAGGGGCATTTGGGAGATGTTTGGGAGATGGGATGCAGTGAGTACTGTCTTAATTAGAGCGTAGATTTGTCACAGAAATGAGGCACATTTTCTTGGGGAATTCAAAAGTATTTTAGTCTGTAAAGACTGACTAATGATTTTAAAAATTATATCACAGCATTAATGAGCCAACTCTTGTTAGAACAAACTTTAATTCCTTTACATTTTGTTTTCAGGGCAAGAGAGATGGTACTAAGGAAGTCGGACCTTTAGATAGCAAGCAGAGAAGTAAGGCAGATGAAGAAGGTGCGTCAGCTCTGAAGGGTCCTTCATGCCAGACTCAAATTTCAGACTCACCTGCAGATGGTAGCACACTTGTCGGGCATCCAGGTAGAAACTATTTGATCATTACCTTCATCTCTTTCATCTTAAAACACACACAGACCAATCCCTGAACTATAACTTGAAATTGGCTAGCAACCGAGGGCTCATGGTTTCTCAGTTTTGTATCAGATGGTAGTGATCATACTTTGAAAGTCACCTTTCCTTTACTTTGCCTGCTTTCCTACCTTGTTATTCCCCAATTTACTGAGTGCCTTCTGTGTGCCAAGCACTGTGCTAGACTGTGGGGGTGCAACAGGGACCAAGTCAGACAGACAGACACATAGCTCCTGCCCTCACGGAGCTTGCATTCTGGGAGGGTGTAGACCAAGGTACAGGTAACTAGTCTGAGGGGGAATGCAGCTCTGTCCACAAGAGAGGGGTGGGTGGGTGCTGGTGGCGACGGGTGTCTCTAACCGGAACAGACTGTATCCACAGAAAGCCTTGTAAAGTTTGGGCTGCGAGGGACCTTAGCTGTGCTAGGATCTGCTCTGGGGAAGGGCTTTCCGGGCAGAAAGAACAGCATGAGCAAAGACCCCAGAATGGGAAACCCACAGGTGAACACAGGGGAGAGTCCCATTGGCAGGCACGCAGGGACAGAGCCCTGGGGGGTGCTGTGTCGCTCTGCGGTGGAGGCCCTGAGCTGCCTGTCTGGGGATAGCAGCGGCACGTTCAGAGCTGTGTTTCAAGGAGATTGACGAGCTTGAAGATGGAGGTGCTATGGGCTGAAGAGCCTCCTCGTTGGGGCAGCCCAGGGAGGCAGCATCTGTCCCAGCTGCCTGCTCCGTGATGGAGGCAGCGCTGAGCACCTGGCATCCTGCCCCGTGTGTGCAGCCAGCTCTCCGAAGAGGCTGACGGCCAACTGTGCAGTGCATGTAATTCTACCTTCCGGACAATAGTCTGGTCCCCCTAGTCAGTCCCGGTCCACTCTGGTCTGCATCAGCACCGGCGTCCTGGTCCACATGTAGTTCGTTCCTTCCTTGAGTGCTCACTGGGCTCCTGCTATGCTCTAGTTCTAGGCGCTTGTGATAACCAAACACCTAGAAGGGGATAGAAATAATAAATATCAACGATTGGCTATGTTAAAGGGTGAAGGTGGACTGAGCACCAAAGAGCAGGGTCAGGGGATGGGTGAGTGCAGAGGGGGTGCTCTGCATTTACGTCGGGTGGTCAGGGTAGGCCTCCTTGAGCAGGATGGGTTTAGCAATGTCCCAGGTGTGTTCTCTGGCAGCATGGGGACCGTGCGACAGTTTACTTGCCTGTTTGTACGTGCATAGAAGCTGGCGAAATCTGAAAGTGTGATGTTTTACATCACTTAGATGCTGAAAATATAGTCGTGTTGTCTCAGAAGCCCATTGAGGAAAAACGGGTTACTCCCAGCCCTGAGCAGGTGTTTGCTGAGTGTTCCCAGAAGAGGATTTTGGGATTACTAGCAGCCATGTTACCTCCCTTAAAGTTGGTAAGCGTTTTCTTTTTTGGAAGAGGGGTGGTGGTATATGTGGAAAAATGTGTTTTTTTGGAAATCCCTCTACTGAAACCACCTGTCCATAGTCACGTGTGTGTCCCTGAGAGAAGCATAATCAGTTAGAAGTAGGTCAGAGGATGATGCCTGAGGACGTCTGATTGGGCGTAGCTGTTGATGAAGGACTGCACGGGCCCTTCGGCGCTGGCCAGCTGTAACTAAGACGTGAACGGACGCAGCACTGAGTTGATGTGGCTTTGTGGATTCCGTGTTGAACAGGCATTTCTCCCTCTCTCGGCAGGACCCCACAGTGCCCGTGATGCACCTGGAGCACGTCCTCCCACTCATGTTTCAGGTTGTCATCTCCAACGCAGGCCACCTGAACGAGACCTACCACCTCACGCTGGGTCTTCTTGGCCAGTTAATCACCCGCCTTTTACCAGCAGAGGTGGATGCTGCGGTGGTGAAGGTCCTCTCCGCCAAGCACACCTTGTTTGCATCAGGGGACAGTTCCATTGTGCCCGATGGCTGGAAGACCACACACCTGCTCTTCAGCCTGGGAGCTGTGTGTCTGGACAGGTAGCCCCCGACACTCTGTCCCACCTTGGTGTTCATTTCCTTAAGTCCCTGGTCTGGCTGGTCGTTGATTTCAGTGTGCTTGTTGTCTAGGCTTCGCTTGTGAGAATAGAATTCATTTTACTAGAAAAGGTGTCAACTAACATTAAAATTGTACTTAAAACACACATTTGGGGCGCATGGGTGGCTCAGTCGTTAAGCGTCTGCCTTTGGCTCAGGGTCCTGGGATCGAACCCCACTTCGGGCTCCCTGCTCCATGGGAAGCCTGCTTCTTTCTCCCTCTCCCACTCCCCCTGCTTGTGTTCCCGCTCTTGCTGTGTCTCTCTGTCAAGTAAATAAATTAAAAAAAAAAAAAAGAAGTTAAAAAACAAGAAAAAACAAAACCCACATTAAAACATTAAAACAGCTGTGCAGTCTGGGCGCTATTCTCTGTTTGAACTTTCTGATGATATATAGTCTGGTGTTTTGTTTTGTTTTGTTTTTTTTCCCGGCAGCAATAAGCGTAGGCTTTGGGGTTGAAGAAAATAGGTCTATTTTTGTTATGAAGTAACATAATCAGGATACCAAATTTGGAAAACAAAAATGGAGAAAAAAATCACCCTAGCTGCACCATCTTCTTGTTTTTTTAAGATTTTATTTATTTATTTGAGAGAGAACGAGAGTGTGTAAATGGGGGATGGGAGAGGGACAAGCAGACTCCATGCTGAGCGTGCAGCCCGACGTGGGGCTCAATCCCACAACCCCAGGATCGTGACCTGAGGCAAAGTCAGGAGTCGGATGCTCAACTGACTGAGCCACCCAGGCGCCCTGCCCCCCACCCCAGCCGCACCATCTTAATGCACCAGGTGCTGTTTTAATATATTTCCTTCCAGGTTTTTTTCTGTGTGTAAACGCCAGTATGCACAAGTGCACGTGTGTGTGTGACTCTTTATAGAGATTTTTTTAAAAAACCTAACTGTATACTGAGTGTAGAGGTAACAGAGGCTTCATTCTGATAGTTTTTAATCTAGTGGGTGAGTGGCCCTTGGGCGCTGCTGCGTGTGCCTTGGAGTGTAGTGAGCAAGTTCTGCTGAGTTGAGTGTGGAGCCTGTGCCCTGCCGCCTAATGGAGCTCTTGCCTTCCAGCCGGGTGGGCTTGGACTGGGCGTGCTCCATGGCGGAGATCCTGCGGTCACTCAGCGGTGCCCCACTGTGGCGTGATGTCATCGCCACCTTCACAGACCACTGTGTCAAGCAGCTGCCTTTCCAGCTGAAGCACACCAACATCTTCACCCTGCTGGTGCTGGTCGGCTTCCCACAGGTACCTCATTGTGAAGGTCAGACCACACCTTCCTGTCCTCATCACACACAGCAGGAGCTCTGTAGCCTATAGCTTTAGGAGGTTTTTTTTCCTTCATTAGCATAATTTGCATTTACAGTATTGGTATATTTTCAAGATTATGGGATGGTTTGTTCCACTGCATTTTTAACAGTTTAGCTGTTTGATTCATTTTTATTAGCTAGTTGTTTGACTAATAAGTCACTAAGTTATTAAATCACACAGAACTTCAGAGTATAGTTGTTTGTCAGCTGGCATTCATCCTGATCTCATTTCTAGTCTTCATGTCTCACAACTGGTTGGGACAAAGAGCGCTCTGAAACATGGCTTCATCCAGCAAGCATGTAAGCACCTCTGCACCGGGCCCTTGACTCAGGAGTGCCCGTCCTTGTGCACCTGTTGAAGTCCGGGGCACGAGCAGAGAGGACTGGACTTGTGTCTGCTGAAGGGTCCGTTCCTGTGTCTGTGTGCTCCTGAGTTGCCTTCTTGGTCTCTGTCACGTTCTAGGTCCTCTGCGTGGGGACCCGCTGTGTGTATATGGATAACGCCAACGAGCCACATAACGTAATCATCCTGAAGCACTTTACGGAGAAGAACAGGGCTGTGATCGTCGATGTCAAAACCCGGAAAAGGAAAACAGGTCCCAAGCCTAATTATTTTTTCTAAGAATGGAAGGAAGCTGTCAAATCTGTGCATACCCTGAAATAAATGAAAATACCCTGGTTCTTGCCCCTGCATGTGATATTTTAAAAAGCAAATTATAACTCCCTGAGCTTCTTTTTCCTCATCTCTGAAGTGATGTGGTTGAATAAGGGTAAATTGGAAGGCCTTCACTGTGCTGTCATTTTGTATATATGGCTCCAGGGTTCTGGGGGGACACATTTAGGGTCTGAATATTTAATGTTGTCATTGGCCGGTTGTTTTCTAATGGGTAATTTAAATATATAGTGGAGTCAGCTGCAGGAGTGTAAAATGTCTTTGAGTGATTGTGATGACAATTTTGCTTGATCAGTAGAACAGTGAAAGTATATCATAAGTGACCTTTGACTTAGTTTGCCAACCCCAAAACGGCTTGGAGTATGTAACAATATGTGTCCAGTTCTGCTTCTGAAATAATATGCTTTCTTATTCAGCTTCATTGTTGGGCACTGTCTGTGCTACTTTGTGTGTGGTGTGAGGTAACAGTCAAGGTTCTTGTTCTTTTTCCTTTTTTTTCTTTTTTGCATATTAACATCCAGTTGTTTCAGGACCATTTGTTGAACAGACTAGTTCTCCATTGAATTATCCTGGTACCTTTGTTGGAGATTAGTTGACCCACATGTGTGTGTGTCTATTTATGAGTTCTGTTATAGTCCATTAATGTATATATTTGTCCTTACTCGAATACCATATTCTCTTCACCGTTATAGATTTATGCTAAGTCTCCAAATCAGGTTCTCCAACTTTGTTATTCTTTTGGCAGCATTGTTTTGGCTGGTCTAGTTCCTTTGCCTTTCTGTATAAATTTTAGAATCAACTTGTCAGTTTCTATAGAAGAACCACTGAATCTGTATATCTATTTGGGGAGAAGTGACATCTTAACATGACCCATGAGCACTGTATATGTCTCCCTTTATTTAGGGAATATATTGAGAGCTCTAATTTCTCTTCATCTGGCATGGAGTAGTAGCTGCTTTCTCTCATTCCTGAATTTGGTACTTTGTGTCTTCTTGTTTGTTTCCTAGAGTGTCTCACCAGAGATTGATCAATGTATTTTTTTAAAAAGATTTTTTTTATTTATTTGAGATAGAGTGACAGAGAGAGAGAGCACGAGTGAGGGGCAGAGGGAGTTGGAGAAGCAGGTTTCCCGCTGAGCAGGGAGCCCGATTTGGGGCTCGGTCCCAGGGCCCCAGGATCATGACCTGAGCCAAAGGCAGACACTTAACCAGCTAAGCCACCCAGGCGCCCCTGATCAATGTATTTGATCTTTTCAAAGGACAACTTTTGTTTCCAGTGATTTTTTTTCTCTATTATTTCTCTGTTCTCTGCTTCACTGATTTCTGTCTTTGTCATTATTAATTTTCTATTTCTTCTTGCTTTGGATTTCATTTGCCGTTTTTTCTTTAATTTCTTAGGGTGGAAGTCTAAATCACTGATTTGAAATTTTTCTTCTTTGTTGATAGAAGCATTGCAATGCTATGAATTTCCCTCTAGGGATGGCATCAGCTGCATCCATAGTTTTTAAAAAGATTTTATTTATTACTTTAAAGAGAGAGAGAGATCATGGGAGGGGGGTGATGGGCAGAGGGAAAAGGAGAGAGAAAGTCTCAAGCAGCTCCACACTGAGTGCGGGCCAGATGCGGGGCTTGATCTCACAATCCCAAGACCATGACCTGAGCCAAAATTAAGAGTCGGATGCTCAGCCATCTGTGCCACCCAGGCACCCCTGCATCCATAATTTTTGATAGCATTTATCTTATTTTCACTCAGGTCAGAATATTTTCTATTTATCTTGACATTTTTTCTTTGCTTTGTGGATTATTTATTGTTATTTATTGTTTATTTTTTTATTGTTTTTAGAGTTTATTGTTTAATTTACAAATACTTGGAGGCTATTCCAGACATCTTTCTATTATTGATTTCAAGTTTAATTCCCTTGGGGTCAGAGAACATACTTTGGATTGTTTTAGTCCTATTAAGATTATTGAAACTTGTCTGTGGTTCAGAATTTGATCTGTTTGAGGAAGGTTCCATGTGCACTTAAAGAGATTCATATACTAGGTTGTTAGCTGTAGGTGTCATTTAAGTCAAGTCAGTTGGTAGTGTTGTTTTAAGTCTTCTGTGCTCTTACTGATTTTCTGTCTGTCCTGATGATTACTGAGAGAGGAGTGTTGAGGTCTCTAACCGTAATTGTCTGTTTCTCAGTTCAGTACAAAATGTCCGTTGTTATCTCTGATAATATTCCTTGTTCCAAAATTGACTTTAGTATTTATGTAGCCTCTCTAGCTTTTGTCTTATTACTAACATTTGCGTGGTGTGTACACTCACTTTTCTTTTTAAAGATTTTATTTATTTGTGTGTCAGTGAGTGCACAAGCAGGGGGAACAGCAGAGGGAGAAGCAGGCTCCCCGCTGAGCAGGGAGCCCGGTGCGGGGTTTGATCCCAGGACCCTGGGATTGTGACCTGAGCCGAAGGCAGACGCTTAACTGACTGAGCCACCCAGGCGCCCCTGGGATTCTCTTTTATAATCCAGACTGACAGTCTCTGCCTTTTCATTGAGATGTTTAGACTATTTACACTAAATGCAGTTACCAAGATGATTGAGTTTAAATGTACTATCTTCTTGATTGTTTTTTATTTGCCTCACTTGTTTGTTTTTCCTTTTCTTCTACTTCCCCTGTTTTGTTTTGTTTTTAATGACTCCATTTATTTCCACTGTTGGTTTTTAACTGTATCTCTTAATTTTTTCAGTGGTTGCTCAAGGATTTACTATAGTTTACCTTCAGATAATTTTTTAGTGGTTGCTCTAGGGTTTATAATATTCACCTTTAACTCATTGTAGTCTACCTTCAAGTAATATTCTACCACTTAACATACAGTGAGGAAACATAGATTTTATATTTCTGTCCCCCCATCCTTGTGCTGTTATCATCACACATTTTACTTCTACATGTTATAAACCTCGGAATAATACATATATTTATTTTTGCTTTAAAAAGTCAGATCTTTGGGGGCACTTGGGTGGCGCAGTTGGTTAAGCATCTGACTCTTAGTTTTGGCTTAGGTCATGATCTCAGGATCATGCGATCGAGCCCTGCACTGGGCTCTGCGCTCAGCACAGAGTCTACTTAAGACTCTTCCCCCTCTTGTTCGTGCGTACACATGCTCTCTCTCCAATAAATAAATCTTTTAAAAAAAATCCTTGTTTAATTAAAAAAAATAAAAAGATATTTTAAGAAAGGTTTTAAAATGAGAAAACAATATCTTTTTATTTACTCACGTTTACCATTTCTGGTACTCTTCATTTCTTTGTGTAAGTTAAAGTATCGATCTGGTATCATTTTTGTTTGGCCTGAAAAACTTCCCTTAACATTTCTTGTATTGCAGGTCTGCTGCCACAGAGTTTTTGTTTTGGTGTGTCCTACCAAACCAAAAAAATATTTATTTTGACTTTATCTTTGAAAGATGAGTTTGCCGCATACAAAAATCTAGGCCAAGAGTTTTTTCTTGGAATACGTTAAAAGTTTTTGATCCATTTTCTTCTGGCTTACAGAGTTTCGGCTGCAAAGTTTGCTGTCATTCTCTGTTACTCTTCAAATGTGTCTTTTTTTTCCTCTGGCTGCTTTTAAGATTTTTTTCTTAGTCTCTGGTTTTTAGCATTTTGAATAGGATGTGCCTTGACATGATTTTCTTTGTTTCTTCTTCTTGGGGGTTTATTGAGCTCCTGGATCTGTGGATTTACAGTTTCTATCAAATTCAGAAAAGTTTCAACTATTATGTTTTCAAATAGTTGTCCCCCCCACCTCCACCCCCACCCCCTCCGCCAGGATACTTCCACTAGTATCCGCTAGGATTCTGGGTGGGGGGAAGACAAAATATTCCCAGGTCTGTGTGAGCTCCAAGAATCATTTGCCTTACTACTTTTTGATAGTTCTTTCCTAGAACTAGGTGGTTTCCCACCACACATTTGTGCTGCTCACACACAGCCAAAGACGTGAGGAAGCTCCTGTGGCTGTCTAGAGAGGTCCCCCATACCCTGTCTGTCTTTGCCTCTCCCTTCTTTGTGATATTCTGACCCATAAATTCTAGCTGCCTTGACTTCCCTGAACTCACCTCTTTCTCATCAGTTCACTGAGACTTCAGGACTCTGCTTAGATTTCTAGTCCCTGCTCTGCGGCCTAGAAATTGTCTCCAGAAAGCCAGGCTGTTGGAGGGCTTCTCTGGTTTAGGTCCCTTCTATCGGGGACCATAGTCCTATACTGCTTGTTGCCTCCTGTTTGCAAACAATTGTTTCATGTACTTTTTCAATGTTCTGGTTGTTTAAGATAGGAGAGTCAATCCCGTCCATCTTAGTTTTATTTGGGAATGGAAGTTCTACCTGCATGTTTGTATGTAAGAAGTTCCTGTAGCACTTGGAGACAACCTGTTGGTGCACAGTAGTAGGAATGTAAATTGTCTCTCTCGGTTGCTTGTTGCATGGGTGGCCCATTGCCATTTCTGTGCTCACCTGCAAGCCAGCCTTAGATGTAACAGCTAAGTTTGAAGCCAGAGTGATCTGTGTTTTGGGGTCTGCAGTTCTTGCTTCAGTAAAGGCACATTACTGGGGAAGAGACTTAGCTGCAGGAAGCATTAACTATGCTTTCATGCCTTTGTCTTCCTGCCTGCCCTGACCCTCCAGTGAAGGACTACCAGCTGGTCCAGAAGGGACAGGAGTGCAGCAGCTCTCAGGCCCAGCTGAGCCAGTACTCCCAGCACTTTGCCTTTATCGCCAGTCACCTTCTGCAAGCCAGCGTGGAGAGCCACTGTCCCGAGGCGGTGGAAGCAACCTGGGTCCTGTCCCTGGCCCTCAAAGGACTATATAAGACACTAAAGGTAACGGTAACCTTCTTCCATTTGCTCATGAATCACTGTGATACATCTGCAGGGCGTTTACTACAAGGAGATGCCATCTGATTTCGATGGTTGGTTAACCAAAGGATCTTGATTATTTTTAGGAATGGTGGCGGTCTTGCACAAGGATAACTCTAAGGAAGAAACAGAATTTTCCTAGTAGTTGGTTCTTTATATTTTTTTAGTACTGTTTTGTGGAACCAGGTGTTTGCTTGATGGGCATGTTAACCTTGGAAGATGGGAAGACCTGGGTGGAATAGTTTCTCACTTCCCTCCGAACCACGGCTCCCCTGGCCCATTGTAGGGCCAGGGGAGGGGGAGAGCAAAGGGGACTGGCGTCCTACAGGACTTGGAGCAATAGGCTTGGCAGTTGGGGTGGGAGAAGCTGGAAAAGCCTTGACTTGTGGGGGAGATGGTTATTCTGCTACCTGAGGGGCCTGACAGGGGAAAGAGATCACTTTTAGGACAGTCTTCCCCACAGAAGTAGCCATGAAAGAAGGGTTTTATTTTAAAAGTCGATGAGTCCCTGGACTTTGGCAGAACTGCCCAGGAGGCCACAGAAGGACTCAGGCAGCACAAGGAGTCAGCATGGATGGCGCTCCAGCTCCGGGTCCCCCTGAGTGCTCATGGTGAGGGGACCAAGGCCATGCAGCTGCTCTTTGTTGCCTCCAAGGCATTTATCACAATCTGCTCGTGTTTTAGTTGTTTAATTATAGTAGCAAAGAGAAAATAAACTCTCTGAGGGCACCATGAGTCATAAAAAGCCTTTCTGAGGAGGTGAAACGTGAGGTGGTAGTTGAGGGGTCTCGGCAGAGTGATGCGTGCAGGGAGAGCCGCAGACACCAGGCCCAAGAACAGGCATGGTTGTCAGCGACAGAAAGAACACCTCCGGGCCTTCAGGATCCTGTGGAAGACCAGAGAAGCAGGCAGGGAGTCTGCAGCGCCCCATCTGCCATGACTGAGGACTTAGGTTATGTTCTGATGAGCACTGGAAGCTTTGGGAAGGCAGAGTGCTGGAGAGGGTCATTCCTATAGGATGAAGCCCACAGAGTGTCCTGGGCACCAGAAATGCTTGCGGAGGGCGAGTCACACAGGGGGTGTCCTGGGCACCAGAAATGCTTGCCGAGGGCTGAGTCACACAGGGAGTGTCCTGGGCTCCAGAAAT